AATGGGTCCACACGTTTTATGAGCTGTGGAAAAGAAGTTCCTGTGGAAAAAAGAAATGTGCCTAAATGCCAACAGCGACTGCCCAGACAGGTACAAGAGGAGTGTTGTTAACGCATATGTCGACCGTGCTCTCAGCCACAGCTCAGAATGGAAGCAAGTCGACGAAGAACTTTGTAGGGTAAGGCAGGTCCTAGTCAACAACGGCTTCTCCAATGGTTTCGTCGAAGACATCATAAGAAGGAAAGTGAAACGCCATGCAACCTCTGAAGAGACAACTAACACAACACCTATACCCCCTATTAGACTATTTTACAGGAACTTCTTTTCCACAGCTCATAAAACGGAGGAAAGGGTCCTGAAAGATATTGTTAATAGAAACGTTATCCCTACAGACAAAAATCAGAGGATACAACTGACGATTTACTATAAAACCAGAAAAACGGCCAGCCTACTCATGAGAAACTCTCCAGACACAAAACAGAACGCTTTAAAAGAGACTAACGTCGTCTATGCCTTCAAATGCCCACTTGGGGACTGTAAGCTCCAAAAAACCCAGTATATAGGCAAGACAACAACATCTCTTTCTAGGCGTTTAACGATGCATAAGCAACAGGGCTCCATTAAGGAACATATAATCTCTTCCCACAACCAAACCATCGCCAGAGAAATCCTAGTAAACAACACAGAAATCATCGATAGATACAGCGATAGCAGGCGGCTTGACGTTTGCGAGGCACTACACATCAAGAAGTCAACACCAGCAATCAACAGCCAATTATTGCACAACTATATTCTACCCACCTCAAGACTCCGCTCCAATATAGAAGCATCAAGAAATATGGACCAATAGGCTTTCTACAAACACTTCTATTCAATACCTATTGTTTCGTAAAAGCAAGTGTCAATATATCTTTATAATTAACGGCAAATACACAGAATATAAAACTTCCCCTTTGGCTTCGAATCTTTGGGCGGGGGGTCGTTGGGGGGGGGGGGTTGTGTTGAAGATACATGGTTTATGGTACTACGGCCAAAGTATGAATACCATTATTTTTTAAGTTTTCCTGGGATCATTGAATAACGTTTTATATAACGATAATATTTTTTTGTATTAAAACAGTTGCAAATAATATAATAATTCTTCATTGGATTCGATTCTATGTGATGGTTGTGGGTCTTGCTTTAGTTCAAAGGTGCATGGGGAGGAGTGTGGGGGGGGGGTGCTATGTTGAAGATACGTTACACACAGAAATCACAATAGCGTGATGGATCAAATGAACAAATCCACAAGGGCCGTGACGAGGATTCGAACCTGCGTCCGAGAGCATCCCAGACCCTTGCCTTATCCTCGTCACGGCCCTTGTGGATTTGTTCATTTGATGCTGCGTGTTTCATGGTGTTACGACGAAATTATGAGCAGCAGAAAAGTTCTGTTAATTTCCAGAGATCAGACTAATGGTGTATATTACTTTAAAACATTTTTGTTCTTAAATTTGTGCTTTTTAAATGTTTAGTTGAGTGTAGCCGACTCAGGCAGTACCGACAATCGTCGTGGGGTCGGAATGTGACCCCGGCACATAGTTCTCTGTTGAATTCTGGCGACCCGCGACCAGCCTGTGTCCGTCCCGTACCCCAGACCATTCTCCCTGCAAAGTTGGGTGAGACTCGCCGCAAGCGTCTGATTCCCCACTCTTGAATGGACAGAATATAGAGAGGGAGGAGAGAGAGAGGGTGTGAGGTATAGTGAAGAGGAGACAGCAGCGAGGGAGAGGGAGGAAGGAGGTGAGAGAAGTTATCTTGAGATGATTTCGGGGCTTTAGTGTCCCCGCGGCCCGGTCCTCGACCAGGCCTCCACCCCCAGGAAGCTGCCCGTGACAGCTCACTAACACCCAGGTACCTATTTTACTGCTAGGTAACAGGGCATAGGGTGAAATAAACTTTGCCCATTGTTTCTCGCCGGCGCCTGGGACCGAACCCAGGACCACAGGATCACAAGTCCAGTGTGCTGTCCGCTCGGCCGACCGGCTCCCTTGAAGGGTGAGGTACTGGGAGGTTAGAGTGGGAGTGACGTATAGGGAGGGAAAAGGTAAAAAAAAAAGAAGGAGGGGATTGCACAAGTTACCATGACAGGTTTCTGTGATATCCAGTGTCCTCGTCGGGGGGTGGGGGGAGGCTTTAATATAGTGTGTGAAATAATGAGAGGAGAGAGGGGGGGGGGAGGAACTATCAAGGAAAAGCGCCAAACCATTACAACAATACAGCACTGGGAAGGGATCAGAATAAGGATTTGGGATGGGACCGGGGGAAGGAATGGTGCCCAACCACTTGGATGGTCGGGGATTGAACGCCGACCTGCATGATGCGAGACCGTCGCTCTACCGTCCAGCCCAAGTGGTTGAGCCAGAGGGGAGGTGGAGAGAAAGGCGGATTTTTCCATCGTTCATCAGAATTTTGGACAAAGTGGAGAGTCGGGCAAGAATGTTCACCTCTAGTCTTGACCAAGTCTGGTGGGAAGGTCTGGGCATCAGAGCCTCCAACACCATCGAGATGTTGGTGGTCTTACTGTTATGTACAAGGCCAACAGTCTCAAAGTTCCGCACCTGGCCCAACTTCGTGGACAACCAGTAGTTGGCACCCATAACACAAGGCGCTCAGCATCAACAGTCCCATGCCGGAACTCCATCACCCATCATTCATTCCTAGGCTGACTCGCCTCTGCAACTTGTTCGCTCAACAAATTTATACACAGAAGCTCAACCGATCAGAGCTATATGGTAGCTGACAGCTGGGTGGACATCGTTCGGATTCGTAGTCCTGAGGTTCCGGGTTCGATCCCCGGTGGAGGCGGAGACAAATGGGTAAAAATGTTTCTTTCACCTTGATGCCCCTGTTATTTAGCAGTAAATAGGTACCTGGGTGTTAGTCAGCTGTCACGGGCTGCTTCCTGGGGGGTGGAGGCCTGGTCGAGGACCGGGCCGCGGGGACACTAAGCCCCGAAATCATCTCAAGATAACCTCTCAAGATATACAGTTGGCAATTCGTTTTTACTGATCCTTTTATTATTGTAACTTTTAAATAAATTGTATCTCTAATGAATCAAATGAAATAAACGAGTCTCCAGGAAGAGGCTTCAGATGAGCTGAGTTAGGTAGGCAGTTGACGCCATTGTAATTGAAATAAGTTTATTGAGGTAAAATCCACACAAAGGGATGAGGTAGCTCAAGCTATTCTCACCCCGTTCAGTACAACGTGTTAATACATACATAGACACACATCACAAACAATAAACATATTACCAAACGTTCTGAGAGATAAACATATACAACCTTCCAAGAAGTGGCACGGGCATGAATAGCCCGCAAGCAGTGGAAACGTTGGTGGGCAGATCTTACAGCCAGTCTTACGGGCTATTCATCCCCGTGCCACCTCTGTGGTGGCTTAATCTTCATCAATCAACAGCCAGCTTCCAGGGAGAGACAGGTTACCTGGCCATCAGGAAATGGGGGATGAAATCTTACTTTATTTAGAAAGAAGGGAAGAAAAGGGAGGGGGGGGGGGTAGGGAAGACTGAACTAAGGGTAAATTTAAAACAACTTTTCCTTCCTCTCATAATGGTATTAATGGAATCATCAAAAACACAGAAAATAGCGTTTAATTCATATTTTTTGCGATCTAAAAAGTTTTTTTTTGTGATCATATATATATATATATATATATATATATATATATATATATATATATATATATATATATATATATATATATATATATCCTTTCCTTCTGAAGATGTATTTAATATACGAAAGTACTTAAGGAAATTTCCTGTTTCATTTTCCTCCGTGGTCTGACATTGTCACATTCTTAATCACACATGTTTATTTTCGTGATATACACACATATATATATATATAATATAGTGTGTGTGTGTGTGTGTGTGTGTGTGTAAATCACGAAAATTAACACGTGATGAAAAATGTGACAGTGTCAGACCACGAAGGAAGAATTGAAACAGGAATTTCCTTAATTACTTTCGTATTTAATAATACATCTTCAGAAAGGTCCTTGTGAAGATCTGAAGATGTATTATTAAATACGAAAGTACTTAAGGAATTTCCTGTCTTAATCCTTCCTGTATGATCTGACATTGTTATATATATCTATAACGAATACAATAACATAAATAAAACTATGAATTATAAATTATATATACACCATGTGGTATATATAATACACCAATACACCTGGTGTCATATATACACACACACCAGAGTTTCTCCGTATAATTGATAGAGAAACCCCTAGTAACAATTCAGATATAGCAGCCAATGATAGGCTTGCTTTTTCCCTACACGTTTGTGTCAAGTGTTTAACCAGTGGTGTGTGTGAGAGACGGAAGCCTGCCAGTGTTGAGAAGCAAGACCCACCACCTTCCCTCAGTCTTGTTATTGGCGCCTTCCGCTCCTCACTAGTGCGGCATCGCCTCCCCCGACACGCTCTCCTATTCATCCTAGATTAAACAAGTCTGCGGGGGGGGAGAACTGAAGGCGGAGAAGCGCACTTTGTAAACAAGAGCGGGAAGAGGTCGGTTAGACTCCTCCTCCCAGCGGCCCGCGCTGCCTTGCCATAGGCTCCTGGGGTTGTTTATCGCGGTCGCGGCGACCAATCCCAGCCTCGCGCCGCTCATCGATCATCCTCGTGGAGGGAGAAGGGGAAACCCTAACTACCAATCAGAATATTTATGGAATAATTGCTTGGCCAATCAATTTGCACCTTGGATTGGAAAGGTAGCGAAGGAGGACCCTGGCAGAGGTAATCAATGATTTCTGTGGTACAAAGGGAGAAGCCTGCGAGATGCAAGATGCCGAGATTGCTTCATTTCATCGGCGGTCTCTTGCAGGCTTTCGGCGCAAGTTGGCGGTGTGTATAATCTTCTGGAAAAAGTGCGCCTACTGAATAAGGTTTCCCCCGTGTTAGCAGGTGGGCGCCGCCGACCCCCCACGATGGACACTTGTTACGTGCCTAACAACCCGGCCTACACCGATTGCTGGAGGCCCCTGTCGCCCGCATGCGGCCAGGCGCCTACACTCACCTCCCTGCGGCCATTAGCGGCCTCCAGCCCGCCGCAGCACCCGCCGCCAGCATATCCGCCGCCTCGATCGCCACTCCCAACCTACGTCCACACAGATGACTTCCCGCCAACCAGGACGCCTCCAGAGGCCTCCAGCGATAACCTGTACACTGCTACGCTCCAGACTCACTCCAGTATGAGCTCCTTCCCGGCGCTCTTTGACTTGGAGCCGCTGCCCAACTTCGTCACTCTCTCCCCACACGCCCCCTACAAGTAAGAAGTTTTCCGCCGTCGGTAACCAGTGCTAAAGTAAAGCTTCCGGTATAGAACTTGGTCACGGGTGCTGTAGTGGGGCTAATCGCTTGAGAGAAGGTGGAACCTCCTGTAGTGGTAGTTGGTGAGGAATCCACGCAATTGGGATTCGTGTGTGTTAGTTATGTAGTTTTTTTTATCTTGTGGGAAGTTAAGTGGTAGCACCCACTGGAACAGTGGTTGTAGTCGTGGTGGTAAGTAGTGGTAGCCACTGAAGCAGTGGTTGTAGGAGTTGTGGTGGTGGGTAGTGGTAGGTGAGGCTCTTTGCTCTCACTCTCACCTGTAATTCGTATATTATTGGCTTCGTAAATCCTTGCAAAACCTGTCATCGATCCTGAGACAATATGTAGGCTCCATATACCCCCCTGCATAGAGCGCCATGTTGGGGGGTGTGCTACTATGTTGCTACTCTCACTGACAACATATCCTCCAGTACATATATAGACTCTTGAGTACAAGTACACAATGTGTACTATTGGTAGTGTATATGATCGAGATTAAAGGTTGCAGCCTAATGCCCTTTAGTACAACAATAGAAAACACGTAGACTTTTCTGGTTGTTAGTCATTGTAGTATATATATATTATACACACACACACACACACACACACACACACACACACACACACACACACACACACACACACATGAGTAGCTATGAATATTCTAAACATTCAGACTATTAAGGAAAAATACATCTTATTTTGTTTCACATAATAAGTGTTAAATGACTAATGGATTGATTATATTTTGTTATGGTGTGTTATGTTATGGTGTGGAAAAAAAAATATATATATATATTTTTGGGAATAAGATTTTCATACTTTCGCTCTTGGCTTATAAACTCTCATAACTCTCATATAAGACTGAACTATGGAAAGTAACTTTAGAAACATGTCACTTGTGGCATAGACAACAACAGTAACCAGCCAACAGATACTTGTAACAGTAACACCAACAGTAACCAGCCAACAGATACTTGTAACAGTAACACCAACAGTGACCTCACAACAAGAACTTGTAACACAACCTGTGTTTAGTAATTAACCCCTAATATCACCTTTTAGTATTTAGAAAGTAATTGTAATTAAGGCTTCAGTAACTACTACTAATTATATGGATATTTTATTATTCTCCTGATGGCTTGCGAGAAAGAGAGAGAGAGAGAGAGAGAGAGAGAGAGAGAGAGAGAGAGAGAGAGAGAGAGAGAGAGAGAGAGAGAGAGAGAGAGAGAGAGAGAGAGAGAGAGAGAATTATAACCCAAATAATCTAAATTGTATCTTAAATGGCCTTAATTGGGGGCCTAAATGACCTCAATCAGTAGATAGAGTCCCAAATGATCTTATGCTCTAAATGACCCTTAATGATCTCAACCTTTGAAGTCCTTAAATTAACAACCACAATTAACAGCTTCATGACAAGGATGATGACATTGTTCCACATGCCTTTGTTTACAACCTGGATATCCCAATTGAGCTCACGTATGACCTAAATGATCACAGATGAGCTCAGCCATGATAAAGTGTGCCCTTAACTGTGTATTAGATAACCCCATTCATTCTCAGTCATGACGAAATAACCCAAACTGACCTATGTCCTAAATGACCCAGTTATAAGGTAAATACTGACGATATTTATACCCCCTAGCTGACCCCCGCTGCATGGTTAACAGCTTTAGGCATCTATCTTATTATTAGGACTCATTCACAGGCCTAACCTACTATATAAATCTAGTGATGTCGTTAATGGTCAATATTTTAACCTGATAATACTACTAACATCAATTATATCCCCCAGGTGACCCATTATGACCTGCCTCCCCCAGTACCCCAGGTGACCTCTCCCCTAGTACCCCAGGTGACCTCCCCAGTACCCCAGGTGACCTCCCCAGTACCCCAGGTGACCTCTCCCCCAGCACCCCAGGTGACCCAACATGACCTCTCCCCCAGCAGGGAGGTGAGCAGCATGCTGGGGAAGGAGAAAGGGGACCACATGGCGGACGTGTTGCTGTCGCTGAAGCACGCAGTGGTCCACCCGCACCAGGTGGGTGACTCTCCGCCGCCCCTCACCCCGCCCACACTCCCGCCCCTCCCGCCCTTCCACCCGCCCCCGCCCTACTCCCCATCCTCCTACCCATCCTACACAGATACCCCGACTTACATGCCCCTGGCGCCCCTGGCTGCCCCTTCCCCTTGCCAGGATACGAGCCTCTCTGAACCTCTCCTTATCCTGCCCGCCCCGTCCCCTCACGCCGCCCACATCCCGCCCTCAGCCCTGGATGAGTCCGTTGGGCTGCCAGACGAGGTGGGCGCCACCTCCCCGCCCCACTCCTCTCTCTCCTGTTCCCTAGGAGTGTCCGGAGGGCTCAGCTTCGGGGCGACGCTCGGCAGCTTCGGGGGCAGTTTGGGGTCCCTCGGGGGCCCACTGCCCCCCATGGGGTCGGCGGGGTACTCTAGTCCTATGGGCGGCTCAGTGGGCGGGCCGCTCCTGCCGCCGCCGCCGCCACTATCGCCATACTCATACCAGCCGACGCAGGTAAGGTGGTGACAGCCAGCTGCCATAGCCGCCTCCGTCAGTAGCCTCGCTACCAGACCTCTCACACGTCGCTGCTATATGTAGCAACACCGCTCTACTCTCGCGTCTCTGTAAACCCAAGATAGCGTGCCTGGCACTTGGCTGTTTAGGCACTCCTGCAGCAGGAGTGTCTCAGCAAGACACTCCTGCAGCAGGAGTGTCTCAGCAAGTCACTCCTGTAACAGGAGTGTCTCAGCAAGTCACTCCTGTAGCAGGAGTGTCTCAGCAAGTCACTCCTTGGTTTGACTCAAGGTAGAGCTCTGTCACGCACTCCACCTGTACCTAGGTTGAAGCTCTCTATAGTTAGACAAACCTTTCACTCGTAATGCCTGAAGTTATCATGTAAAGAAGTTTTACTGAACTAGTACCATGTAAAGACTGTAGTTGAGGTAACCTCCTTCACCAGTAACCCGTATATACACACCAGTAACCCGTATATACACTCCAGTAACCCGTATATACACACCAGTAACCCGTATATACACACACCAGTAACAGGTATACACCCCTTGTAGTGACGTCACCTCACCACGTGGTGGTGTTTGTAAACATTGCGGACGCTGGCCGCTCAGCTGACGCTGTTGCCATATTAAGTCACCCGCATTACTGAAGAACAAGTTATGCTTGTGGTTCTATGACGTAGTACAACTAATTTCCAAAGCTAGAGGCAACTGTACACACCCCACGTGATGCTGATATCTTGATATAGAGATAGTTGACATGTTTACATATAGCCCGTAACTGCGTAACGTCACCTGTAAGTTTGAACATTACATAATTCGGAACACGTGACGAAACGCCTGTGTTTACATGAAGTGTTCTGTGTACGTGTCCCCGTCCGTGTATGTACTCACCTAATTATGCTTGCGGGGGTTGAGCTCTGGCTCTTTGGTTCCGCCTTTAAGTGTATGACTGCCGTGAGTGTATGGTTGTCATGGGTATTGGTGATGGCATCGTAACATTAGTGTTATCACATGTGGAGCCCTGTGCATCACCTCATTAATACAAATCACTACGCTACTATTTTCTAGTACGACAATTTTTGGCCTTATGTAACGCCTACGAGCGAAAAGTGACGTTCTTTGTAGGAGGACAGGTTGGAGCAGAAACAATGTGAAACAAACAAACATGGCGGCTCTGAATAGGCGCCAAACTCCTGCTACTACCGGTGGCTGAGCGGACAGAACACTGGACGCGTGATCCTGTGGTCCCGGGTTCGATCCCGGGCGCCAGCGAGAAACAATGGGCAGAGTTTCCTTCACCCTGATGCCCCTGTTACCTAGCAGTTAATAGGTACCTGGGTGTTAGTCAGCTGTCACGGGCTGCTTCCTGGGGGTAGAGGCCTGGTCGAGGACCGGGCCGCGGGGACACTAAGCCCCAAAATCATTTCAAGATAACCTCCAGATATCCTACACTAACACTAACGACTTAATTCTCACCCACATAGTCTGACGAGCAAAAGAAATTTAGTTTAGCAAAGAAGTTATCAAACCTTTAATGCACTTGCTGCATACGATGTGATTAGCTGAAGCTGAACTCTGAACTGACCAAATTAGTAACTTAAGAACAAACTGTTATGGAGAGATCTATAACTGACTTTGAATTTGTAAAATTTTGAATTTGAAAAATTTGAAAATTTGAATTTGAAAAATTTTGATTGCTTTTAATTTGAATTTGAAACAGACATGAGCAATGATGTGGCAAGCAAAGCACAGGAAACAATCTTTGTAATTCACTCAAATTAAACAATAAAAACAAAAGTTGTGGGAAGTAGCGAAGGGAATATAAAAATGACATAATTATTACAGTGTGAGGGAGCAGTTCTGTGGAGGCCAGCTGTGTTGTTAACTGTCATTACCACCCTGTGGAGGCCAGCTGTGTTGTTAACTGTCATTACCACCCTGTGGAGGCCAGCTGTGTTGTTAACTGTCATTACCACCCTGTGGAGGCCAGCTGTGTTGTCAACTGTCATTACCACCCTGTGGAGGCCAGCTGTGTTGTCAACTGTCATTACCACCCTGTGGAGGCCAGCTGTGATGTTAACCTGTCATTACCTCCCTGTGGAGGCCAGCTGTGATGTCAACCCTGTCATTACCTCCCTGTGGAGGCCAGCTGTGTTGTCAACTGTCATTACCACCCTGTGGAGGCCAGCTGTGTTGTCAACTGTCATTACCACCCTGTGGAGGCCAGCTGTGATGTTAACCTGTCATTACCTCCCTGTGGAGGCCAGCTGTGATGTCAACCCTGTCATTACCTCCCTGTGGAGGCCAGCTGTGATGTCAACCCTGTCATTACCTCCCTGTGGAGGCCAGCTGTGTTGTCAACTGTCATTACCACCCTGTGGAGGCCAGCTGTGATGTTAACCTGTCATTACCTCCCTGTGGAGGCCAGCTGTGTTGTTAACCTGTCATTACCACCCTGTGGAGGCCAGCTGTGATGTTAACCTGTCATTACCACCCTGTGGAGGCCAGCTGTGTTGCCAACCTGTCATTACCACCCTGTGGAGGCCAGCTGTGTTGTTAACTGTCATTACCACCCTGTGGAGGCCAGCTGTGTTGTCAACTGTCATTACCACCCTGTGGAGGCCAGCTGTGTTGTCAACTGTCATTACCACCCTGTGGAGGCCAGCTGTGATGTTAACCTGTCATTACCTCCCTGTGGAGGCCAGCTGTGATGTCAACCCTGTCATTACCTCCCTGTGGAGGCCAGCTGTGTTGTCAACTGTCATTACCACCCTGTGGAGGCCAGCTGTGTTGTCAACTGTCATTACCACCCTGTGGAGGCCAGCTGTGATGTTAACCTGTCATTACCTCCCTGTGGAGGCCAGCTGTGATGTCAACCCTGTCATTACCTCCCTGTGGAGGCCAGCTGTGATGTCAACCCTGTCATTACCTCCCTGTGGAGGCCAGCTGTGTTGTCAACTGTCATTACCACCCTGTGGAGGCCAGCTGTGATGTTAACCTGTCATTACCTCCCTGTGGAGGCCAGCTGTGTTGTTAACCTGTCATTACCACCCTGTGGAGGCCAGCTGTGATGTTAACCTGTCATTACCACCCTGTGGAGGCCAGCTGTGTTGCCAACCTGTCATTACCACCCTGTGGAGGCCAGCTGTGATGTTAACCTGTCATTACCTCCCTGTGGAGGCCAGCTGTGATGTCAACCCTGTCATTACCTCCCTGTGGAGGCCAGCTGTGTTGTTAACCTGTCAGTACCACCCTGTGGAGGCCAGCTGTGTTGTTAACCTGTCAGTACCACCCTGTGGAGGCCAGCTGTGATGTTAACCTGTCATTACCACCCTGTGGAGGCCAGCTGTGTTGCCAACCTGTCATTACCACCCTGTGGAGGCCAGCTGTGTTGCCAACCTGTCATTACCACCCTGTGGAGGCCAGCTGTGATGTTAACCTGTCATTACCTCCCTGTGGAGGCCAGCTGTAATGTCAACCCTGTCATTACCTCCCTGTGGAGGCCAGCTGTGTTGTTAACCTGTCAGTACCACCCTGTGGAGGCCAGCTGTGTTGTTAACCTGTCATTACCACCCTGTGGAGGCCAGCTGTGATGCCAACCTGTCATTACCACCCTGTGGAGGCCAGCTGTGTTGTCAACCCTGTCATTACCACCCTGTGGAGGCCAGCTGTGTTGTCAACCCTGTCATTACCACCCTGTGGAGGCCAGCTGTGATGTCAACCTGTCAGTACCACCCTGTGGAGGCCAGCTGTGTTGTCAACCCTGTCATTACCACCCTGTGGAGGCCAGCTGTATTGTCAACCCTGTCATTACCTCCCTGTGGAGGCCAGCTGTGTTGTCAACCCTGTCATTACCTCCCTGTGGAGGCCAACTGTGTTGTTAACCCTGTCATTACCTCCCTGTGGAGGCCAGCTGTGTTGTTAACCCTGTCATTACCACCCTGTGGAGGCCAGCTGTGTTGTCAACCCTGTCATTACCACCCTGTGGAGGCCAGCTGTGATGCCAACCTGTCATTACCTCCCTGTGGAGGCCAGCTGTGTTGCCAACCTGTCACCACTTTACCTCCCTGTGCATGCCGCTACCAGATAGCAAGATAGCACGCTGGGTGCTATCCTGCCAGACCCATTAACAGTAGACAGTAGAGTACAATCTAATGCTTTAGCACTTCATAGGGTAAATCTATGATAAGTAGATATCAGTTATTTTGAGTACGTTCATATATTAAAGTCGAGTCCATTAGGCTTGTGACTTGTAGTTCACATAGACTAAATATTAAGAACTAAATTGATGTCATCAGAGCCAAAATATCACTTGAGATGAAAAATCATAATCCTTTTGATTAGCTAAACAATAATCTTTGCAATAATTCTAACCACTAATATATAGAGATAACAGAGAGATCCCATAACATGGTAAAATGCTTTCAATTCCTAGTTAATGAACTAATAACTAACCATCAGCAATCTAACTAAACTATTGGAGATTAATAATACCTCCGGCCACTAACTTTGTACATTTTACTCCCTCGATGACCCTCGGCGCTTTGTTTGTGGTTCTACCTGGCTACCCACGAATCTACCCCTGCATCTACCTGTGTGTGGGGCACCAGACACTACCCAGCATGATGGGGGGCATGGGCACAGGCGGCTGCTACACGACAGGAGGCTACCAGGACGCTGCCTACTCCGCCCCCGGCGCCCATCACGTATTTCCCGCCATGAGTGTCAATGTCTCCATGAACATGACTATGGGCGTCTCCAACGTCAACATGGGCTACTCCCCGGAGCAGTCCTTACAGCATCAGGTGGGGACCACTGGTTAGTCTAAAGTATAACTCTATCTTTAGCCTTGTGTGTATCATTATGTCCACGTGCTCTCACTATCAACGTATGCTTCACTATAGAGGGGGTGCGTTAGTACCAATGTGCTTCACTATCCCCTCCTGCTTCACTATAACCGTGTGCCTCATTATCACGTCACCCTTCACCATAAGGTACGGTGCGAACCCTTCACCACATTAAGGTGAGTATAGTGAGGTGCCTGGCAAGGCTCTTGTGGTGCTTCAATACGTCCCACCCTTCATATCCTGGGCATTGACTGGGCGGCCTTTACCCGGGGTCGGCCTTTATATCCTGCAGCCCTCGCTGGCGCCAAATCCTCCCCCAGTCTGCATTTAACGCTCCGCCTTTTTTTGGCAGCCATTTAACGTCCTTCACTTGCTCTGGTAATTAATTAATCATTTTTACAGCAATTTTTTTTTATCTGGGTAGAATGCTAACTTTTATTATTTTTTGAGGGCGTGTGTGCTCCTGTGTGATTAGTTAAAGGTGTGTGTGTGTGATGGAGGTGTTTGTAGTGAGTATTGGTGGGCTGTGTCTTGTTAAAGTCTAGGGTGTGGGTTAGACTTATCATGCACTAGACTGTGTACTCACCTAATTGTACTCACCTAATTGTGCTTGCGGGGGTTGAGCTCTGGCTCTTTGGTCCCGCCTCTCAACCGTCAATCAACTGGTGTACAGATTCCTGAGCCTGTGTGTGTGTACTCACCTAATTGTACTCACCTAATTGTGCTTGCGGGGGTTGAGCTCTGGCTCTTTGGTCCCGCCTCTCAACCGTCAATCAACTGGTGTACAGATTCCTGAGCCTATTGGGCTCTATGTGTGTGTGTGTGTGTGTGTGTGTGTGTGTGTGTGTGTGTGTGTGTGTGTGTGTGTGTGTGTGTGTGTGTGTGTGTGTGTGTGTCATGAAGCCCTAGATCAGAGGTGGGGAACCCCTTTTTATGCTTCAAGGCCACATAGTAGTTAACTGCTCTTCTATAAGGCCGCGGTCAACACAATTCTATCAGATATACTGCAAAATGCAAATCTTTGGTGAAAATCTAACGAATGTATAGAATTTAAAAAAAAAGAGGGAAGGAAAATTTGTGAAAATTTGAAAACTTCACTGATCTTATATTTTATTTTTAAGATTACCTTTCAGCGAGGAGACATTTGGGGCATGTGGTTCAAACATGGAGGCCCGCAGCTTAAGCTGCTCCTCCAGATTTGTCACCTTAAGGAGTCACAAAAGCAAAACAGTCTCTGTCATGCGTGTTCCTGTAGGCTAGGCTATTCTCCCGCGCGAATCCATAGATCACTAAGTTTCTTCTCTATTTCAATCAGAAACTTCAAATTATTACCTTCAGCGATCTCAATTAACTCCATTTGCAGCTTTTTTTTTTTTTTGGTGCCTTGGATCAATTAAGGGAAGCTTGCTTCTCAAAATCAGTGAATCTCTCATTGTTATGCCTAGATTAGTGAATGCATAACAAGCCTAAGATTAGTGTAGGAATAAATGCATTGATTGCATATAAATCCGAACACGGGAAGACATTGTCACACCACACGTGCCAATTTTAATATGTAAATTATGTACAAATAGGCATGTATTATATTTTAATGTATTTTTGTGTTTTTCAGATTTTTACATAGTTATTTTTTATGTAAAATTTGTAGTAATAAATGTGAAAATTATGATAATATACAACGAGATATTAAAACGTATTTAAAAACAATGTATTTTTATACAAAATTTGTATTTTTTTTTAAATTGCATAAGGCTACAGGTTGCCCATTCCTGCCCTAGACTGACACTGACTGTCCCAGACTTATCACGAAGCCTTAAACTGACCCTGACTGTTACAGTCTTGAACCCCCTAGACTGACATTTTATGACTTGAGGTTAATCTACATTTAAAAGTAACCTACTTTCTAGGCTAATCCTGGAGCCCGGAGAATTAGCGTCGTAGACTAAGGGATACCCCTATTATCTAGTACTCCAGGGGGATCCTAGTTATATCCAGGGGGCCAGATTCACGAAAGCAGTTAAGCAAGCACTTACGAACGTGTACATCTTTCCTCAATCTTTGACGGCTTTGGTTACATTTATTAAACAGTTTACAAGCATGAAAACTTGGCAATCAACTGTTGTTATTGTTATAAACAGCCTCCTGGTGCTTCGGAGCTCATTAACTGTTTAATAATTGTAAACAAAGCCGCCAAAGATTGAGAAAAGATGGACAGGTTCGTAAGTGCTTTCGTGAATGTGGCCCCTGAGTACCGCAGATAACCCTACCTGCTGGAGGTCCATCTGAAGCACACTAAACACTGCTCTTCCAGTAATGAACGTTGTATATGTTGTGTCTCTCTTCCAGTGGGCGACCAGCTGTTCCGGTCCACAGACCTCATCAGTCTCTCCCGTCGGGAGTGTAGGGTACCCGCAGCACTCCGCCCCTGGCCTAGTCAGTCCTCTACCCATGTCCTACAGGTGAGTGGGTAGTCCTGCATGTCCTACAGGTGAGTGGGTAGTCCTACAGGTCCTACAGGTGAGTGGGTATTCCTACAGGTCCTACAGGTGAGTACATGTCCCCATCGGACACTACCCGTGTCCCCAAGCACTAACAAATCAATCACGAATACACTATATGACTTAAAACACCAACACTTAATGAAAACAATGAATGTTGACGTGTAAATAACATTAATGACCCAAGATACCACTAGTTATTATATAGACATTAAGTCAATAATTATACGGCCATAGTCTCAATAAAACAATAATATTCATCTGCTCGCAGAATTTTCCACAAATGATCACCCTTACGAACAAATGGACTAGGATTCACCAAACATTTCCGTGTCCTACGAAACCAGTACATCTTCCCTCAATCATGGAGGCTTAGTTTGCCTTTATTAAAACAGTTTACGAGCTGTGGAAGCACTACGAGGGTTGTCTATATCACCCTTAGGTGGAGAACCAGTCTTGCATACTAAGCCGAGGTTCTAGGTACACACACATATATATATATATATATATATATATATATATATATATATATATATATATATATATATATATATATATATATATATATATATATATATATGTCTCATCACATCCCTGAGGGGAACACCAACAATAGCATCTGACGCGGACAAGGCGAGAGAAGCCTAGTGAAAGACTTAATCAGGATTTTGTCGTTTGTACCTTCACATGACACTGAGACTCTCAGTTAATACACCGAGACTCAGTTAATACACCGAGACTCTCAGTTAATACACCGAGACTCAGTTAATACACCGATACTCTCAGTCAATACACCGAGACTCAGTTAATACACCGAGACTCTCAGTTAATACACCGAGACTCTCAGTTAATACACCGAGACTCTCAGTTAATACACCGAGACTCTCAGTTAATACACCGAGACACTCAGTTAATACACCGAGACTCTCAGTTAATACACCGAGACTCATAGTTAATACACTGAGACTCTCAGTTAATACACCGAGACTCAGTTAATACACCGAGACTCTCAGTTAATACACCGAGACTCTCAGTTAATACACCGAGACTCTCAGTTCACACCAGTCACAATAGGAGGGTCAAGGTCCTATTTTTGTCCCCCCAATTAAATTACGAAAAGAAAATATGTTCAGAAATACCATTTCAGGTTGTGTGAGTCTGTGTATCTGTATCACTCTGTCTCACACGTGCGCGCGTATTTCAGCGGGTCGTGCAGCCAAGGGTACGGCGTGGGGTCGTACTCGTGGAGCGGTGACCTTCGACCTGACCATCCAGCGATGCCGACCTTCGATAGGGACCTTTGTCTGCGGTCGCCGCCCCTCCGTCCTCGTCCTGGGTCGCCCTGCGTCCCCTCCTACCACAATACCACCCCCACCACACAATGTGAGTCTCTCTGACATGTTGCTCTACCTCTATAATGCCCCTAGTACCTGCTCTATTACACAGACATCCTACGGGCTCACCATAGCCCGTGCTACTTGAAACTTTTTGTTCCTGGTAGCGAATCTTTAACAACAACAACATACACAGACATCATGCAGTATTACTTTTAATAGTCCTAGGCTACTTGTCTAATATACATATAAGATGTTCATCTTTCTTACCTCTTATCATCTCGGGAAAACTGAATAGTTTCATTATTTTTCTAGCAAATATATTATGCTGGGTATAAAGGTACTTCCTGTTCTTAGTAGAGAATATTGCATTGCCCTTGCAATGTTTGTCCCGGTTGCCAGATACCAAATTGCCCTCAATATACATTGATTGTTTACCTGCCCTCCTGGGCACACTGCCACCTCTGACTGGTATTGCGTTCTTAACACTATTTCCAGACCTTCAGACTGCTAAACCAGATCTCTAACTAATAAGCTCTTCTAATTTTGATCTTCTAAATAGGCTCCTAACCTATTCTCCGACTAAAATAATTCCACCGTTAAGGAACAATATTTCCAACACAAATTACTGTATTAGAATGCATTAGAACACAACTCGCTGCATTAGAACACACAACTCACTGCATTAGAACACGCCTCACTGCATTAGAATGCATCAGAATACACAAATGCCAATGAATTATTAGACCAACCGGCGATGAGGCAGAGAGTGACGCCTCGCAGTCTCTTTGTATCCCCCTACAGGCGGGCAGCTGTCGCCGACGCTGTCCGCCCTGCGTCGGCGCCCCTCCGTCGGTGGCGTCATGACCATGTCCGGCCTCTCCTGCAACACCACCCTCGACATCTCCAAGCCTCTCCTGACGGACGGACTCAAGCCTAACCTCTGTAGGATCTGTGGCAAGACCTACGCCAGACCTTCCACCCTCAAGACGCATCTTAGGACTCACAGCGGAGAGAAACCCTACAGGTAGGTGTGGCTGACAAAGATATAATAGTGATCCCTGTAGGGAAAGTCGTTCTCTGTGGTAATCTAGGGATTTTGCGCCGAGACTTTCGTAGAGGCTTAACTCGCGTGTATTAAGTTTGGCATCTGGAAAACTTTTTTGCTTGCCAATACATTGTGAAATTTTCTACCAACTTGCAAATTTTCAGAACCTTCAGTTGTATAAAACCCGATACCCATGCTGTATTTAACCATCTTCCTGCAGTATATTCCTGTTGTTGTATTAAACCATCTTGCTGCATTAAACTACTTGTATTAAATCATTTTGCGGTATTAAATCACTTGCTGTGTTAAATCATATTATACCTTCTTGTATTACATAACCTTTCTGCATTAAAAATTACTTGTATTAAACCTTCTTGTATAAAGTTGTTGTATTAAACCTTCTTGTATTAAACGGTCATGCTGTGTTATACCTTTTTACTGTGTTAAACCATTTTTTTTTTTGAGATATATACAAGAGTTATTACATTCTTGTAGAGCCACTAGTACGCGTAGCGTTTCGGGCAAGTCCTTAATCCTATGGTCCCTGGAATACGATCCCCTGCCGCGAAGAATCGTTTTTTCATCCAAGTACACATTTTACTGTTGCGTTAAACAGAGGCTACAGTTAAGGAATTGCGCCCAGTAAATCCTCCCCGGCTGTTTTAAACCTTGCTGTTGTACTAAACTTTCTTGTTGCATTAAGTCATCTTGCTGTATTAAATGTATTTTAAATCTTGTTATATTAAACCCTTTTGCTGTATTATACCTTCCAATAATAAGCTTTCTTATTATATTAAATCATATTGTTTGATTAAACTTTTTGTTGCGTTAAACCTCCTTGCTGCATTGAGCCATCTTGCTGTATTAAACCTTATTGTTGTATTATCAACTTGCTTGCCATATTTAACCTTGCTGTATTAAATCTTTATGCTGTATTAAACCTATTGGCTACAATAAACCTTGCTGTATTTAACCACCTTGCATTCAGTTACACTGAAAATGTCGAGCAGATTATATAATCTACTTTTTTAAATTCCTGTAATCAATGTTTTGTCTGTACCCTGGAGTCCTCTCCACTGTACCGCCAAGTAAGATATAGTGTACCTTATGTACCATCTTTATTGTACCACTCATCAGCGTACTGTACCGCATCCAAAAATACCGTAATTATTTTATACTCTCTCTCTCTCTCTCTCTCCTGTGTATTGATTACCAGCGATTATTTAGAATATTCTGGGGAACATTTATGACAAAAATGAATCTTTTTTTATTGAGAGCTATTGTTCGCATTTCATGGAGCAAGTTGGTATTATATGTTGACCAAACCACACTAGAAATGTTTCGACGTTTCGGTCCGTCCTGGACCATTCTCAAGTCGATTGTGATATTATATAATATAATATTGTGCAGGCGATGAGTCACAATAACGTGACTCATTTATTGCCTGTCTCTACCTCCTCATCACAATCGACTTGAGAATGGTCCAGGACGGACCGAAACGTCGTCGTCCCTTCACCTTCTAGTGTGTGGTCTGGTCATCATATAATATTGTGGTCCTTATATTAGTGTAATCACTTAGCCTGGTAAAACACTGTATTGCATATCTCGCTTAATACAATGCGTTGGCCGGACAGTTTGGCTCCGGACATGTTCAACTGGGCAGGTCAGGTTCTGAAACATTCTGGGCAAAAGTTGTTCGATATTCAAGTAAGATGCTGGTGGTTTATGTAGAGGTTTAATTGTTATATCTTGCAGGTGCAACGACTGCAACAAATCGTTCAGCCAGGCAGCCAACCTGACGGCGCACGTGAGAACTCACAGCGGCGAGAAGCCATTCCGCTGCCCCATCTGCGACCGCAAGTTCTCCCAGTCATCCTCCGTCACCACGCACATGCGCACACACTCGGGCGAGCGACCCTACCGCTGCAGGATGTGCAAAAAAGCCTTCAGCGACTCGTCCACGCTCACCAAACACTTGAGGATTCACTCCGGCGAGAAACCCTACCAGTGCAAACTCTGTTTACTCCGCTTCAGTCAGTCTGGAAACCTCAACCGTCACATGAGAGTCCATTCGCAGACCTCTTGAGGCTGCTGACGACCCCCTCAACTCTCCACCTGTCTGCGTCACGTCCCGTCTGCTTGAGGCTTCCGGCGTCACTCTGTGCCACAGTGGGATCTGTGGCACCTCTGTGGGACCTGTGGGATCTATGGAACCTGTGGGATCTGTGGCACCTGTGGGATCTGTGGAACCTGTGGAATCTGTGGCACCTCTGTGGGATCTGTGGGACCTCTGGACGCCATCTTCCACTCTTCGGGTCCTCTTGGGCAGCAGCCTCACTAGCGACTGTTTAAGGGACTATACGACGCTTTTCTCATTTTTTTTTTTACATTTCACTGGACATTGGAGTGATACCACCAGCTGTTTGGGACATTTTCATCGCTATGTTGCTAAGGTGCATCAAAGGGAATATGAACCCTGCTCTCCGCTACCGAGGTGTTATGAATGCTATTTGCTCTGCTGCGACGTCATCCACGCTGTCAATGTATTCTGAGACCTTTGAACACTACCCTCTGCTACGAAAAGCTGACTAAACACTATTTCCATAACTGTAGAAATCTTGAACAGTTCCTACCAGAATAATACCCTAAGGTACCACCTGAAAGACGCTCCCAATACCAGCTACCAACAACAACAGCTTCGTCCCCTCTCCCGTTGTTTCCGTTGTAACCACTCAGCACACCTTCATCCTGCTTCCAGTTAGTTTACCTGTGGTTGGGCACCATTCCTTCCCCCGTCCCATCCAAAATCCTTACCCTAACCCCTTCCCAGTGCTATATAGTCATAATGGCTTGGCGCTCTCCTCTGATAGTTCAATTCAATTACCCGCTTGCAGGGTAGCAGGCCGTCGGGGTACTGGCCACACATCTTTAACAAGTAGACATGGAACGTTTACGCTTATTTTTCAGCTGGTTAAATCATTTATGCCGCTTCCAAGCGCTTCACCAGGCAGGCCAGGGCAACTACACCCCCTGGTAAACTGAGCCACGGGTCCTGCTGCTCATGGGGTTGTAAATACCAGGAATATAGAAGAATGTTGGCGGCGTGTGGGAGGTGATCTTTCGATTGTGCCTGTGTGAGCGGGGCCCTCATGGAGGCACTTGCTCATGTTGTCACCTATATGTCGAATTCACTCATTATATACTCTTCATAAATTAAACTAAGATTTTCCGAATCTGTTAAGGCCAGTTAATCTCTCCCTGTATATCTAAGTTATAATCAGTGCCTTTTCCTCCTCCTCCCTTCTTTAAACTATTCTGTTAATCTTTCCATTTCAATCAATCAATTCCTCACCGTTTTTTAAATTATCAGCGCTTTTGTCTGTCTCAATCAGTTTCTCATTCTATGTAAACAAAGATGTCACAGAATCACGTCCTTCTCTAGAATCAGCTCCTTTCAGTACCTGGTCTGGTAGTAACAATGAAATAAAGTCTGGTCACTTACGAGGAACTTGACTACCCAAGAGAGAGATCGTGTGTAGGTGAACCTGGCTCAGTCAGTGACGGGCTGGTCTACGGTAGGTGAGACTAGTGTAGGTTAGAGACCCCAACTACCACAACACTTCCTACTACCTGCTTGTGTACCACAGTCACTACTACAATCGACACAACCACCGGTAATACCACAATTTCCTCTACTGAACAACCTAATACCAAAGACTCACAACAACATCCTACACCACAATCCCTGTGATGGTAGAGGGTGTAGTAAATACACCCAATACCCTTGGTGATGAAAGGGGAGAATCAAAGACCTCAGACGCCTGCTATCCTCCTGGCATCTCCAGGTGAACACAAGCGAGGTCTGACTCGACTCATCCAAGATGGACCTGCCGACGGCAACTCAGATCCCGGTCTTGTCGTTTCCACCTTCGTATGTAGTCTCAACATCTTGACGTTCTTGTCTTGCTTCAGTAGCAAAGCTGAATGTTGTCTACCCCACACTAAGACTAATACCAGTGTACATCAAACCCTAGGTGACTCTCGGAGCGGAAAATCAATAAATTGGGTTCAGGAATGGCGGCCAGGCTTGGCAACCACGCAGGCTACTGGCTCTTTCCTTGAACTCCTGGCCAATCAGAGAGGAGCGCCAGTCTGACGTTCAGGCTGGCGGCTCGGTAGTGTAAATAATAGCAAAAAAAGACTTGGTTCTTGTCATTGTCCCCACCTTACATTCACTCTGAGTAGTAGAGTGTTGTCACGAACTTGGAGGATGTGAAAGTTGGTGGTAAGGGGACTAGCTGAAGTGTACACAGACCCCGCTATGAGGGGAGAAGGGCGGCGCGCGGGAGGGGACGGGGCTGCCGGCCTACGCATAAACGTTCTAATACTCAGGACTGTGAATATGGGCTAGAACAACGATCTTTTTTCATAATAAATGCTGCATGTTATATACCAAAGAAGTGTAATTCTATGAATAAAGTTATGCATGTGTATTTTCTTTCCTTGTCCCGGTAAATATGTATCTGTTGTGTATGGACACAGGCCAGTCTTAGCAACACTAATTCCCTGGTTAATCACCTTGTTCTCAACTGATACACATACAACATTACCGTTCTTCACCAGCTCGAGGAGCCAGGCTGGTCATACACTAATCTGTGAATATATAACTCGACCATTCATTATACAATATGCATCGTCAAGGATAAACAGCCACCACCATACTCCACCAGTCAACCATAGGAGGAACACACTACACACGACCAGATATAGTGTGTTTCTCGTGAATTCTCATATACAGTATTCCGTATACATTGATTCCATTCACGCAAACCGCTTCCACCAGCGTGTCCTCTAGTATATCAACCAGCATGTTGTCCACCTCACTCACTCACTCAACTTCCTCACTCACAGCTTCCTCTCATACCGCTTCTTCTACTTCGAAATTAACATAAGTATTCTCTTTTTAACAAGTCTACCGTCATCCATTCGTTCAACAAGGCCAAACCATCTCGGTTCACTCATCAATCTTACGGTTTATTGACATTTACACCTAACATCTCTCTCTCTCTCTCTCTCTCTCTCTCTCTCTCTCTCTCTCTCTCTCTCTCTCTCTCTCTCTCTCTCTCTCTCTCTCTCTCCATAATACTGTTATACCTTACTCCATCTGCTCTCCTAACACTACACTAACACTACACATACACTAACCACACCACACACACACTAACTACTCTCATATTCTCAGTTAACCGGCTCTAATTCCTGAGTTTTCACGTTCATTGCTCCCCCTCCTCTGGGTACAGAACAACAGGGTCGGCAGCATTACTCCTCCATGCAGACATCTGGCTGCATCTACTCCTCTCTCGCTAATCCTAACCAGGACCTTCATTCTATCAACTCCTTGGCTTAGTGACTCGACTTTCAACTTGGATTATACAAATTACTCTTTAATCCCTCCCACATCCTGGGTATTTAGACTAACCACTTCATCCTTGACACTTCCTACACAACTTTACTCTTGTCTACACAATCTTCTAATTGTCTTCTCACACAACAACCTGTATAATTACACTACGTAATTACTGAATTCAGCTAAAAGAACTCGACTTACTCAAGCATCTGCATACTCAAATTTGACCTGATCCAGTTACTCATTTGAGGCGTATATGTAGGTGATAAGTTTACCCCCCCATCTCTGAAGGTTTACCTTCACCTGCCTCAGCCACACCCCTCAGTGTTGAGTATCCTGGATGACGACACACAACACTCACATATATGTTAATATGTCATCCACGGCACTTATTACGCCATGAACACTTACATGTGAACTGCTACACTTACACACACACACAAACCTACACACACTCACACACACTGCTACACACACACACACTCACACACACTGCTACACACACTCACACTCACACTGCTACACTCACACTGCTACACACACACACACAGGCACTGCTTCCCCTACATATATACTATTAACAACAGTTAACATCGCATCAGCTAGCTCCATACATGCTCATAAATAAGAACAATCTTCTTGTAACTATCAGTTCTTTTTCCCAAGTCCATAAATGCAATATTCATCTTGCAATGTTTCTCACATGCCTTCTCTACAAGAACACAGGCATATAGGAAATTGCAGAAGACCAATTGGCCCACAGGAGGCAGCTGTTCTGTAAACCCACTCAGTGAAAAGACTTTACCTGCGCTCTCTTCTACCTGGAGAGCTACAGACTTCGTCATCAATCTATTCCTCTGTAATTTCCTGTACTCTTCCGGGCTTTCAATTCCCGACCGTCCATAAGTGGTTGGGCACCATTCCTTTCCCACCGTCCCATCCCAAATCCTTATCCTGACCCCTTCCCAGTGCTATATAGTCATAATGGCTTGGCGCTTTCCCCCCTGATAGTTCCCTTCCCTTCCGGGCTTTCAAATGCTATGTACATACGACATATTTTGGGGAGAGTGCCGTCGTTGGCTGGCACTCTAACTAAACCAAACAAAATCTAATCTAACAAAATAACTATACAAAAAAACCTCTACAAAAAAACAGGCAAAAAACAATTGCAGGCCCCACAACCTCACGAGGGACGCTAACTGAGGTCACCAAGCAACCTGTCCTCGCATTTTGACGTTGAACATGTTCACGGCCAAAACAGATGGATTAAACACCCTACCGACTCGCAAACATGACGAGACGTCCCGTTTTCTATCCGTGGATCCCCGGTTCAGTTCGGTTCGGACAATTTAGTCCATTAGTTTAGTGATGTTGGAGAGGACTGACTGCCTCAAGAGCGATGTTAGCTACAGGGAGACTATGCTAATCTAACTTACTATTATCAAATAATATGCATGGTCCTCGATAAAAAAAAATGGCTGTGAATGAGAGAGAGAAAGAGCGCGACAGACACCTATTGATGTAAACAAATCATAATTTTTTATCCTAAATCTTTCAGAGCGTCAAGAGTCTATAATCTTTCGCCTATCAGACCTGAATGCTTGGAGGTCTAGCTCAACTTCATCCTTATTGTGTTCATTTGGCTGCACTGTGTGTCAGTATGATCAGTAATATGTGAGAGACATCATACAAGATATATTCTAAACCATTTATTCTGGTCACCGAGCAACAGGTTATTTATAACTACTAATATGAGACTCTTCCTCTCTCTTTTCCAGACGTTTTCAAAGGCTTGAAGAGCAGACCTAAACATGTATTTTTTTTATTAACACATTTAGGTGCATCTGCCCTAGACTATATGAAGGGAAGTACAGTGTGTGTCAAGAACTAGCTGCCCTAGACTATGTGAAGGGAAGTACAGTGTGTGTCAAGAACTAGCTGCCCTAGACTATATGAAGGGAAGTACAGTGTGTGTCAAGAACTGGCTACCCTAGACTATATGAAGGGGAGTACAGTGTGTCACAAAACTAGCTACGTGCTGCTAAAAATCCCCATCACACAGGATGGTTAGTCATACAGAGGCATGTGATCAGTAGTCTACACTGACAGACTCCGGGTGCATTATGAGGATATCAACATAAGAGTGAATAAGGCAGCAGTGATACTAAATGTCCCCATCTCGCAGGATGGTTAGTCATACAGGGTCATATGTTCAGTAGCCGGCACTGGCAAATTTTGGGTACACTGTGAGGATATCTTCAAGAACACGAGAGTGAATAAAGTAATTGCAAAGCTCCAGGTACCTCATGCCAACGGGTCTGAATGGTCTGATAACTGGGCATTCGGTGATGTAGTGTGCAAGGCAAACTTAAAAATGTAATTGTCTTATACACACAGAAATCCCAATGACGTGATATATCACATGTAAAATGTATTGGTCTTGTCAACATATTAAGTCTACGGAGTTTATGAGTCGCGTTTAACTGTCGACTCGCCACATAACGAACGAACGAGAGACAGACAGACAGACAGACAGACAGAGAGCGAGAGAGAGCGAGAGAGAGAGAGTATTCAAGAGTTCCTGAAAAAACTCACTATTTACTATCCTGCTCCGGACAATAAATTGTCTTACGCATACATATTTTAAACGTTTTTTCCATTTAATTAAAATTACTTTCATTTCAAAGTTCCACAACATCTTTTCAAGCTCGAATTTTAATTTGCTTCAGAAATATTTTATAAACAAAAAAAATACAGATAATTACAAATATCACCGATTAAAGAATTACAATCACCACGTGAGAAGGAACAACAATCACCACGTGAGAAGGAACAACAATCACCACGTGAGAAGGAACAACAATCACCACGTGAGAAGGAACAACAATCACTAAGAGAAAAACAATCAACAGGAAACTCATGCATCAGATTTAATTCCCATCGAGAGGGCATAAAGAAATCTGAGGACAGGATGGCAGGCCAGAGCAGGACAGGACAGGACAGAGCAGGACAGAGCAGGACAGGACAGGGCAGGGCAGGACAGAGCAGGGCAGGACAGGGCAGGACAGGACAGAGCAGGGCAGGACAGGGCAGGACAGGACAGAGCAGGGCAGGACAGGGCAGGACAGAGCAGGACAGGGCAGAGCAGGACAGGACAGAGCAGGACAGAGCAGGACAGGACAAGGCAGGGCAGGACAGAGCAGGACAGGACAGGGCAGGCCAGGGCAGGACAGAGCAGGGCAGGACAGAGCAGGGCAGGACAGAGCAGGACAGGACAAGGCAGGGCAGGACAGAGCAGGACAGGGCAGGCCAGGCCAGGGCAGGACAGAGCAGGGCAGGACAGAGCAGGGCAGGACAGAGCAGGACAGGACAGAACACAAGACAGGACTGAGTGCAAGTCCTCCCACCAAACTCACAGCTCTGTATATGTTTTAACTTCACACACAACAAAACATAGGGTTGTCCAAACGAGCAAAATACTCGCTTGAAATTGATTTACTTGTGGGCTGGAGAGCACCCAGGTGCTGGTAGGGCTTCGTTGGGAGATGAGCAGTGGTGTAGATGTCTGTCTGTCTGTCTGTCTGTAGCAGAGTTGGTATATCTGACACCTCTGTTTACCGCCCTTGCTGAGGCAGGTGTGTGCCTATGGACCAGGTGTGTGTCGGGGGTGTAGGGAACATTTAGGGGACTCTAACCTCCCCTATACTCAACACTATTGCAGGCAGAGTTGGTATGGTACAGCGGATGCAAGTTGTATATATATTTATATATATATATATATATATATATATATATATATATATATATATATATATATATATATATATATATATATATATATATATATATATATATATATATATATATATATATATATATATATATATATATATATATATATATGTGTGTGTGTGTGTAATGAGGAGGAGCGGAGTCCAGCCGGGACTGAGCGATGATGGCGTCACTCCAGCTGCTGACTCTCTGACCGTTCCCCCATATTAGGTTGATGCTGACGTCAGTCAGCCTCTTGGTGTTGATTCTGGATGCAAGAGAGAGAGAGAGAGAGAGAGAGAGAGAGAGAGAGAGAGAGAGAGAGAGAGAGAGAGAGAGAGAGAGAGAGAGAGAGAGAGAGAGAGAGAGAGAGAGAGAGAGAGAGAGAGAGAGTGTGTGTGTGTGTGTGTGTGTGTGTGTGTGTGTGTGTGTGTGTGTGTGTGTGTGTGTGTGTGTGTGTGTGTGTGTGTGTGTGTGTGTGTACTCACCTGGTTGTATTTGCAGGGGTTAAGCTTTGGCTCTTTGGTCCCGCCTCTCAACTGTCAAACAACTGGTTTACAGATTCCTGTGTGTGTGAGAGTGAGTGAGTGAGTGAGTGAGTGAGTGAGTGAGTGAGTGAGTGAGTGAGTGAGTGTGCATGTGTGTTTGTGTATAGCATAGAGAAGGTCCTCCCAAGTTCAAGTTCAAGTATGTTTATTGAGATAAGCAGTAAATACATCTCAAAGGGATAGAGTAGCTAAGGCTATTTCTACCCCCCGAAGGTCCTCCCGAAGCTTCAGTGTGTCGACCAGCACGCTGGTACTACACCAAGAGTGACGCCAGTTATAACAGCACTCTTAACGCGATCCAATCACACTAACACTCCAAAATCGTAGTTAACCGCCAAATCCAACACCCTGCTTTTATAACTAACCGCGAACATATCCTGCTTTAATAAAAAAAATTACAAGAGCAACTTGCTTCTGGTCGTGCTCTAAATCAACTCAACCATCTCTCCACCATGACGAGATAACATAGGTGGGATATTCCCCCTCTGGGAGTGGAAATTAAGCAAACATATTCAAGACAGTGGAGTCCTCAGTGTTCCTCCCACCTCACCAAGGGTCGCACATGATACTGTGCAGCTCCTCAGCCTTACGGTCAGGCCCCTAGAGGCGGCCACAGCGTGAGGCCGCAGCATTGTGGGGGGAGACGAAGGGAGGGGGGAAGTAATCATGGAAGGCGAGGCCCCACAAGAGCGCGGGAAGCCTCACAACTGACCTGCGCGCCCCACTCCCAAATTACAAACTCGTGGAGACTGATGATAGGCTTGTGCCGCCCGACGCCGCCACCCTATTCTCACCCAAAGTCTCACCTGCCATAAGGACAGTAATGCAAGGTTATACGAATTGTTGAGCGTGAAGCAGTTTCTGTATGTGTTTTAACTAGGTTACCTCATTATCTTGGGTTTACTTGTAGCCCGGTGTAGTTCACCTGGCCATCTTACTCCTCACTCACTCTTTATGTGGAGGTTTAGGGCCTTAAACCAGGTGCTAAAACCGGTTACATTATTCAGCGTTATGCTTTCCCTAGAACACGATCAGTCAATCGTCTTACAATCCCAGGTCCTTAATTACTGCTAGATACACATGCAACCAGAACGGTTGGAATGGTACCCAAACGTCTCCCACGCGTAGGGTTCAAACCCAGGAGGTAGTCGTTGGTAGACATGTTTTCCCTGCAGCAAGGTATTCTGTGAGGAACATGCGGTCACCACGCTGTCATGACAGGCACGGGGTACGCTGCACCTGCTTGTGATGCAGTGATCAAGTGAACAACACACATTAAGCATTCCTCTCCACTTTCCTTACCTGTCCAGCCTAACCACTTGGGCTGGACGGTAGAGCAACGGTCTCGCTTCATGCAGGTCGGCGTTCAATCCCCGGCCGTCCAAGTGACATGGGCACCATTCCTTCCCCCCCCCCCCCCCGTCCTTATCCTGACCCCTTCCCAGTGCTATATAGTCGCAATGGCTTGGCGCTTTCTCCTGATAGTGCCCTTCCTTACCTGTCCTCATACACCGATTGTGTGCAATACAACCTATTAAGATATAGCGCTCTCGTCTCACACTTGCCTCACCTTACATTTCGTTAACTATGACATTTACATACTCAAAATAGAACATCTCAGAGTTACTGTTCCTTTCTTCACCGTACACCATCATACAATGTTATAACCCAAACTGAAGCTGAATCATTGCCACTAAAAGTGAGCAAACCGTTACCCTACAAGACGGAGTTTACTCACACAAAGCAAAGTAAAAGAAAGAAAGAAATGAGAGATAAAATGCGTATTCCATCAGGGGGTCCAGAGTTGCCCACCGCCGCCGCTGATTGGATTTCAGAGTTTGCTAAATTGAAATCAACACAACGATGAATGGCATTCTAAAAAACAATGGCAGATGAGAGGCATTGTTTGCTTTTATTTACACCGGCAGCGCGTTTCGTCCTTATAAAAGCAAACGGAAATGTAGTGAAAACAATATTTATGTAATCTCACCGGGCGGGGAAACCTTTCACTGACAGGAACAATTTTAATTATCACAGGTTGTCTGGCAAAAGTAAATGAAATATGATATGGTAAATTGTTAATTCGTCCTCTCCAACAATAATTTCACTTCAATAGATATGGAGTGAAAGGGATTTTATCCAATATATTTGTGGTAAAGTGGGACACACATACGCGAATCCAACACCATCAAAGTTGAATGAGGTTTAAAAGGCGCTAAATATTACTAAGGATGCCAGTAAGAGAACAAAAACGAATACGTCGAGCGATATCAAAAGTAACCGATTCACCAAGGATTCTATCGACGGACAAGTGACCGCGAAGGACGGTTAGGAAGCAAGACACACGGTCGTCCTGGAAGTCAGGACATTCAACAAGGATATGCACGACTGTAAGAGGGACAATGCAATTTGAACAATAAGGAGCAGGGCTGCACTCCATTAAGTGACCGTAAGTTAAGCGGGTATGGCCAATACGCAACCTTGCCAGAGCTGTTTCCCACCGCCAATTACAGTGTTAGGAGCAAGGCCATGGGGACACACTACTCTTAAGAGCACGCAGTTTGTTACCAATAACAGAAGACTAACACCTTGCCAACAAGCAAGGATGGAGGAATGAATAACCGGGTAAAGGTCGGAATAAGGAATACCTTTACGGGAGATGGGACAAGTGTGTATAGCTTCCTTAGCGGCAGCGTCTTCACGTGCGCTACTGCTTAAGTAATAATAAAAAGACACCAAGCCAAGAAGACCATTAAGCACCATCTTTCACAATAGGCCCTATCACTCAAGATGACAATATGAGAGTAAAAATTACAAGAAATGCAACATCAAAGACATCAGATTCACTAAGGATTCTATTGTGTGATAAGTGGCTTAAAATCACTGAAAATCAGACTCACTAGGAGGTCCACAAACTAAGTGGAATAATGCAGTGCAGACAGTTGAAGGTAGGCCAAGGGGTAAGGTTCCATTTAATTACTGTGTAAGTAATATATTGTTCAAAATACTGTAGTTAATCACCTCTCTCCAACAGCTACGAATGGTATTATGAATGACACTGGAAATCAGAGTATGGAATATTCCACGAACACAGTTCTTTGAATTGATTTTGAGTCTTGAAACCTAGAGGTACACGTTTGTTATGCTGCCACATGGTAATTGCCTAATTTTAACTACCCAAGTGTAGTTACAGGATGAGAGCTATACTTTTGATGTCCAGTCTTTCCAGTACTGTCATATGACCCTTTGATATTACACTATACTAACGGTTTTGGCACCCACCACTGCCTCAAATAATTTGTTCCATCTACCACTGTTTCGGTGTTTTTTTCCTTAATTTAAATCTACAACTTCAAGTTCTTGAAGTTTCAGGTCCCAAGAACTATCAATTTTGTGGATTCTCATTACTATTTTGAAAGTAGTGATCATATCACCTCTTTCTTCCATCGTCTAGCTTTGGCAAATTTAACACCTCCAGCCTCTCCTCGTAGCTCTTGTCTTTCATTTCCAGATGCCATTTTCTTGTATGTTTTTCCACCTTTACCATTTTGTTTATGTGCTTCTCAAGATATGGGTCTTGCTCATTGTATGTTCATTGTGCGATGAGCATACGTTCATTGCACAATGTTCTTTACGTGGTCCTCGGGTGATAGTTTTCTATACAGAACTGGTAGGTGGTTTAAACAGCCAGACAAGCAAACAAGCCGTTAGCAAGCTTTCTTTGTTAGCGATCAATCGGAGAGGCTTTGAGTTTTTACGAAACCACATTTATTAGCCATTCTGAGATGGACTGAGCACTCTCCAGTCTCTCTTAAGAACAAACGAAACTGCAAAAGGCCAATTGGTTCAAGAAAGGCAGCTTAGACTTTTTACCAAATCGTCCATGTGTGTCTTACATTTGCTTCAAACAATCCAGCAATCTCACATCTAGTATGCTACCCGGCATTTTGTTCCATATATTCCCATGGCACAGGACCAAAATTTTCAAATAATTCAAAATTCTGAATTTTCACGGTTCCAATCAATTGATGCAACAAACCGCAAGGAAAACAATGTGATAGCCGAGAAAAATGACCAAACAATATTGCCCAGCTCCAACTTGCAACTGTGCTAAATACTAAAATAATTTTACAGTTAATAAATTTCTGATTAGTATGTGCCACAGTACAAGTAATGTGAAGGTTAGCTAACTTTATTGGAACTTTATTTCCTGTACAACTACATATTCAACAGTGTACAAACATTACACAGAACTTTAGTAATGGAGAGGAAAATATACACAACTAAGGTTATCAACAGTTTATTATACGGAACATAGTTAGGCACTGCTATATAACTTGTGAGATGAGTATTACAGAAAGACCACCAAGTGGCAAAGAAGTAATTATCAAAAGAAGGCACCAAGCCGGGAAGAAAATGTAAAGTGGCAATGAAACAAACGAACGAGAGAGAGAGATATACGAGGGGAACAGAATGAGATTACAGTAGAATAGAGAGTGAGCAATGAAGAAAAGGTGAACAGAGAAGATAAACAAAAAGAAGAATAAGTGTGGTAAGTAACAGAGATATGAGCACCTGGGAGATAAAAGTGACGAAATGAGGGAAGAAGAGAAGAGAAAAGGAAATAAAGAGAAAGAAGAATAAATAAGGAAACATAAAAGATGGCGAGATTACTAATGATATAGGATGTAGGGGGTTTTATGTATCCTTAAATACACAAACTTTAGATATTTGTAACATTGAGTGCTTGTGCTTTGTACAAATACTTTATGCAAATTGCTACAAATAATGTTTACTTTAAAGTTAAAGACTACATCTACCTTTGCATTTTCAATTAAATGATCAAAATGATTAAAAAATCCCAAATGAAACTCAAATGAATCTAGATTATTGAAGCTTCCCTTATCTAGAGATGAGCAAGCCATGATTCAAGTATACTAAAGAAAGCGAGGTATAAAGGTTTTATTACCTACTTTACTGTTTTGTGACAATCATCTAGGATCTACGACATTTAGATGTTAGTGGAGTGTTTTAAGTCAAACTCTAATAAGGAATGTGGACAGTTATCTCAACAGCACTACCATGACTATTAGTTACTACAGTACATGCACAATTCTTATCCTCATGTGGCTACTTTTCAAGCAATTTTTACAACTACATATTTCCTGAAAATAAGTTGACATTTTTTGACCCATTAGAAATATATCATTATTAAGGAATTCTACAATCACATTCCTCTCCCTTTTTTCATGGGTAGAGCACGGTCTAATGCAGCCAAAGAACGATCCAGTGAGGCATTGATATGCCACAGCTGAGACTGTATATCTGGAGGCTTTGGCGGGGGAATGTTCACTCTCTGAACACTGTTAGGGCGTAGGGATGACAAATATGCCGACATTCGGGATATGATGTAGTCCACAACCTCATAGTCATTGGGCTGGGAGGATATATCTTGGCTTACTTTGGCAAAGGAATGACAGATTATAGCAATGAGAAGCTGGAACACAATCCAATACATTATAAAGGCAAAAATGAAATAAAATACCGGACCAATGACTGGAGCCCCAGATCGAATTTCTTCAAATTTCTTAGTAATTAAAAAGAAGCATGCTTCAGCAGCTTTCACAAATGTAGAAAAATCTTTTAAAGTAGTTAAAGTGTTTAAATAAAAGAAAGAAACAAAACTTATAAACAAAACAGAAAAAAAAAGCCCAAAACCCAAAATATCCCCAGAAGCATGCTTGAGTGTGGCCGAGAGCATGCCAATACGTTTATTAAATCTTAACAGCTTAAGCAGCTTTAAAGTGCCTATAAAAACTTGAAAAGCAATAACATACCCAAGAACATCGTCTAAAAATGCTAGTGGCTGCATTCGTATATATGTTTTCCCTTTGGTTGCTGTGAACTTGTCTAATGTGTAATATGTCAGTGACGTTTTTAGCAAGTAAAATATAATTGCTGTATATGACAGAGCAATCACCCATATTTCAAAGAGATTCCAAATAGACTTGAAATACGAACAGCCAAGTTTCTTCAAAGACTTGTACTCGCGCCGTGTGTAAAAGAAGGTAAAAAGGATGTAGGCAATCTCCGAGGCAAGGATAAATACCCCACCAGGGGTGTGGTAACGTAAGAGTCTCAGCCCTTGGAACTCGTACTTAGTGAGAATCCCTCCACCAGGAATGAATTCAAATATGAACATTGCCACAGCAAACAGATTTACCTGTAAGAGAAGAAAACACCATGTTACCCATACAGTATTACATTAGATAAAGACAATTATTATTCAGCATTCATTATTTTTAGCAGGGATAAGTAAGTACAGTAAATAAAATCAGTGTGTCTGCTCGAACAGTCTCAGCTTTTTGAAGATCTCAACTTTCTAGTTTGAGAACCATAATAAAATGAGCCATTCGAGCAGAGTTGCACTGAATGGTACAGCTGTAAGGACAAAAAGATGGTATCTGAACCTGTGGATTGAAGACGGCAAATTCAACGAAGAGAGCTTTAGTATGTTCATCCACCCAATTCTGGGCCTCGAGGGAGTTTAAAATTCTCATGACCTTAGATTGTCCACCTTTCAGTTCCACAAGGTAACCGCCACCACCATATCTGCAGAGAACAAAAAACGGATGCAATAACCACCATGGAAACACAAACCGTAACTGTCTCAATTGTCTGCTTGTTACAACTTGTAATAAAGTTCTTACATCTTGGCTTAACGTGTTTATGACGTATTAGAACGTTGCTACAACTTGCTATATTAGTTGTTATAACTGGTTAGGTGTTAAAACTTGTTCGAACGTTGTACCAACGTTGTAGTTTCGGTGTGTGTTTGGCGGACATAGGTCTGCAGTTATACACATCTCTACTCAGCAGTTAACAATCCACATCTGATGTCCATGAAAACAGAGATGGGCCAAATAATTATTTGTACTTGTGCTACAAATACAAGTGTATCAGTATTGGTATTTAAGAAATACTGTATTTTATTGGGAAACACAAAGTTGTGTATTTGTATAAATATTTGATGATTACATTTGCTGTACTGTAGTTTCGATTAGAATTTAGTTTAATCCATTATAATTTTTATCTACAATATAATCCAGTGTCAAATCACCTACCACTGGAGTCGCATCACATCCCAAGACAGTTCTCCTTGCATGTTCTGGTCTGCCTAAGCTACCATCAATTAAGTAATTATCAAGAGAAGTCACCAAGCTGGGAAAACTATTTAGCACATCTATGTTACTGGATATTTAACAGAACCTAAACATCACTTAGGATTCCAATACAAAAGCAAACTGACAAGGCAAGTCATTTGAAGGTTCACATTTGAAACGGGGACAACTTTGAAACAGTTCAAAGGTACACGAATCACCAAGAACTATATTAAGTGATCCAGAGGGACATTGGGAAAGAGTCTATAATTAGTAGCTACACTAGTATCTCTTCAATCCCTCCAAATCAGCTTTACAGAAATCTAATGCCCTAACAGCTTTTTCTTGCACAACTTTTTCATGCAATATTAAATCAGATTTCCTTGTGATTACTGTCCCTTAACTTAATATACATTGTTTGCAACCACTTACACAATTAAAAAGCCACTTGCTTATTCTGTGAAGAACACAAGAAACCTATAGGGGGAAGGGTCCAAACCACTCGTGGAATATCCAGCAGCTGAATTACAAAACTCAACGATTGACATCATTACTCAAAAAGTAAGATATATATTTGTAAAGCATGTGTATTTAATGCTTTATATTTGTTGTTCAATTATATTTGAACTTTTAAAACTTAACACCATTTTATTTTTGAGGCAACAACTGTACCAGAGTTCAATTCCTGGGCTTGTTTTCTTACACCTGGCTGCCTCTATTCACCTAGTGGTTGTCAGATACCCAGGAGTTGGGAAACTATTGTGCTTGACACCCCTCAATAAGACTAACAGGCCTTCAGTCCTAACAATCAGAAACCATCTGTATTTAGTAATTGAGAGCTTATCAATTTATATATTTGTACAAGTATTATACTTTTACTGGACTGAAGTATTTGTACTTAATTTGGACCTTTTTTTCTTAGCCCATCCCTGCTTCGAACACTACAGTTGGAATTACTGTATGCACTGTGGAATTCAATCAGATGTATGTAATAAAATTTTGGTTTATATGTGGCAGAAAACTTATGCCAAATCGAAAGAAATAGGGAGCTGTTGGAGAAAATTATAATTTTTATGTAATGCTTAAATAATTGCTGTTCATTTAAGGAACAGCGAGCCAGAGGTAGAATACCTCAGGGTATGTGCAGGGTACAGTCAGTACCCTGCAGGGTATATGAACACTTCATGAAATTAACTTTAAATGAACACTGAATAAATATTAAAAATCCTTACGAGGACAGAATTCCATCATAGGGAAATCCATGAATCTTCAGTGCAGATTTGTACTGGTAGTTTGAATCTACAGGACCCGAAATGTTCCAGCTCCGCCCAAAGTTTTGCTTGTCTTCAGCTCTATCGTGTAGGGCTGGATGCTCTGAAGGATCACCTGATGAGAGAGCATCGGTATATTAGAAAATCTAAATATATAACGTAAACAACATACTACTGTACATCTTATATACAAAGCACAGCACAGTATATGCTAATTCAACTCAATTTATACTTCAATTCCAAATATTATTAAGTTTTAGTCTAAGTGTTCCCCCTCCCCCCCACACACACACACCTTGCCTGAAACGCTATGCATATTAGTGGCTTTAGGTTTTGTATGTACTAGCTCTATCTATAAATCCAACCTTATGTTTGTCACTCATCTATGCATGTACTTTTACCGAATACAAAATTTAATTTAATTAATTTAATGTAATACACAATGTTGTAGTCCAATTAACACACAAAAAATAACACTAACATGACCTATATCAATGAGAAAATCAATTGGACCAATGGCATGACTTGAATCAATTATCAAGTGGTAAAGTGCGTGTGGCTGGAAGTTCCTTGGTCACTGGTTCCAGTTATGTTAAATTTATTTCTTAATACACATAATAATATTTGATATGCTGCATACAAAATACTGTATATACCTTGTAAACTAGTTTTATTTATTTAAGATTGAGTGTAAATTTTTTTAATATAAGATTTGCTGCAAGTTGTGTTAGCTTTAATGCTTGCTTCAAACACAAAAATCTGTACTGACAACCCAATGTACCTTTTTTGTACATATATGAATAAACAATATAAATCAAATTTTAAAAAGGATAAATTTAAAAAATATTTTATTACTAGGAAATGAATTCAGCTTACCAGGCTGCATTCTTATTTGCCTAATAATGGCATGGCCAAGGAGGAAGGTGATTCGGTCAAGAAGCGTTCCACACATTTCTTGCGGGCGGTGTTTACCATTGTACAGTGTTGTGTTGAGCAGGTTGGGTACCAGTATCTCTTTGGACCAGCACCAGAATTGATCCTTAAATTTAGCCTACAAGAAAATAAGCAAACACAGGGTATCAAAAAGGGTAAATGTTAACAATGAAATGGTATCTTTTTTTTTTAATCAAATTACTTGCAGTCATACTATATTATTTTCTGGAGGGCGCAAACGGCAATTTCCTGTAGCTGGCTGTGCTTCGATAACCCCAGAAAGTCGAATCAGCCTTAGGAATCTGTAATAACCTACTAGAGACCAAGAGACAAACCTTAGCTTCCTCACAGAGGTGTAGGAACTGGGGATCAATGATCAACCTCAATAAAGCAAAATCCCCAGAAAGGAGCGAAGGAAAACGGACAACTGCAAAGTTCACAAATAATATATAGTATGACTATATATTATTTGTGAACTAATAATATAGTTTGCGAACTAATAATAATAACCTGTCTCTAATAATATAGAGGCAGGTTTTGGTCTCCTGGTCTCTGTTCAGCTACGAAAGACTTCTAGGGCTGATGCATTTTTTATGATGCTAGCTATAGGGAGCCACCAAAGCTCACTCGGAAAGAGGAGTTTGATTACATTCTAAGCATTTCTTTTTTTAACAAATAATGAGGAGTCGTACAACAATGTTGGTATAGAAATCACATTCTTTGAAACCTTGTAACACACATGGTGTTTTGAGCAAGTCTTAAATGCTTAAAAATTATTTAAGATATACTCTACTGTACACTGAAAATTTTAAGCAATTTTTATGTTACTAGAAATATAATTAAATTTTTAATAAAGTTCATAAAACTATTGATTCAGGTGTAAAGTTCATTGAGAATTTTCAGTACAGTAATTTAGGAGTTAATATAAATACAATTAATGTTTACAGTTTCAAAGAAAATCAATTAAATCTTGTGGAAATACTACTAATGGTATCAACCATACACTAACCTTTTGCAGTACTGACTTGACAACAAATTTTGCAGCTGCAAGTAATTCAAAAATTATCCAAAACCAACATCCACACTATGACACTGATTTTAAATTATTTGACATACTATATTAGTCTCATGGTTTTGCACCTTCAAATCTCATTGTACCCATCAAAACAATAAGAAAAATATAACTATCTTTTCACTGAATATTTTCTAGTTATTAAATTCTTTTTGACACTATATATTCTTACAAAGTTTCACGCATATGCCTCAGTTGAGTGCTGTACAGAACAATGTTTATTGAAAAATCATCAGCAATTCTTAACCTTTTTTTTTTCCCCTGTTCTCACCCATTCCAAACTGCTGAGGCATTCTCGCATCCCTTTCCCCTTGAAATTATGAATGAACATATTATCCTAGGGATTACTAACAGTGTTTTCCACTACTTCCCTAAGATGAACCACTTTTCATCACAGTATTCTCACACCCCCAGTTAGGAACACTTGGATCACTGTAAAGAATGTCTTTTGCTCTTTTATTCAATATTTGTTTAAATTTCTGATCCTACTTGGTTAATATGCACTAATACACAAGTTTTTGCGGTATATGGATCACACATGTATACCAGAAATTACGGCCACTGTCTTACAACAAGATGTTAGTCTGTACATGTGACCTATGCAGAATTATTGTCAAATATGACAGCACCAGACAACAAATATACCTTAGCAAAAGCTGGACACTCAGATGTTGAGTAGTGAACAAATGTATTAGCAACGTTGTTCCTCATGAGGAAGATGTTAGGGTCTCTGGAGCCATAACTGATGCAGAGGATGATGGTCAGGAAGATAAGGTAAACAAGAATCTCCAGCATCAGCTCCTGCATAGCCAGCTCACGTTTGCGACGGTCCTTACAAGCTGCCAGCTCCTCTTCAGACAAACCTGCACCCACCTGGGCATGTGAACGCCGAGAGTTACCTGGTAGTTGGGAAACACAAGCAGTGATTACTAGAGTTAAAAAAACTTGTTTAATTAGAATTTTATTGTTAGAATTCACAAGCTCGAAGAGGAGCAGGAAATAAAAGGACAAAAAAAAAAAAAGCATTGGATGTAATGAAACGCTATTTTCTGGGCGAGCCTCGGAGGTTCCCCAGAGCTTACCGGGCTGATATGTATGCACAGTATTAGACCGTAGCATCAGTTGATGGAGTTCTTACCTACCAGGGACCATGAGCTACAACCTGGTCCTCTCAGAGAGGCACAAGGAGCAATGGCCTATGGAAATCCCATGTGTTTGGAAGCATTCCATGTCTGCCATCAACTGGGATTTGGCACCCAGAAAGGTAGGCATAACAAAACAAACCCAACATGGTAAAAATTTCTACCTAAAACCAAAAAGGAAGGCAGAACTCCCCAGTAGGCAAGAACTCCATTGACTGATGTCACGGTCTAATACATACATATCAGCCCGGTAAGCTCCGTGGAGCCGTAGGGGCTTCCCTCAGAAAATGCCGCCAATATAACTCTGAATTCAATGTATTGTAGTAAGCCAAACAATTTGTTGTACAGGTAGTGGTGAAAACATTTTCCATGGTTGATCACCTTGTGAGGTGGGTGGACCATGAAGAAGCTCCTCATCATTGCCCAACTCAAACTCCTCTTCATCATCATCATAGTCTTCAAACTCATCTAATGGTCTCCTCAATATCCATGACAGTAACATTGCCATCAAGTAAATCTAGAAAAAAAAAAGAGAAAAGTTCTGAAGAGAAATGTGCGTGCTTTGTTACATTTATATGCTTATCAACACCATTAACTTCTAGTTGTTAAAATAAGACAAAATCTGAAAACCATACAAGCCATTGCCCTGGCTACCTACTTAGTAACCTTGTACAGTAGTTACTTTGTGGTTACCTTGTGTTGATTCCAGGGATCAATGTCCCCATGGCCCAGTATCTGACTTAACCAGGTTGGTAGTCTGGTCAACAAGACTGTTAGATGCAGCTATCAGTTTGATATATGCATCACAGCCTGGTTGATCAGGTATTCTTTGAAGGTGTTTATCAAGGTCTCTTCAATCTTGAGAAGTTGGCTAGTTATGCCCCATATGTTTAGAGGAAGAGTCTCCATAAAATGCCCCTTACGTTTAGAGGAAGAGTCTTCATAAGCCTTGGGCCCTTGATGTTTAAAAAATTTAGGCAGATGAAGAATCACAATAACGTGACTGAAGAAATGTTGACGAAACCGCACACCAAAAGATGAAGAGACGATGACATTTCATCCGTCCAGGACCATTATTAAGTCGATTGTTGTCTCTTCCTCTTCTAGTGTGTGGTTTGGTCAACAAAAAATTTTGAATTGCCTTTTAGTACCTATTGCACATCTGCTTTTCAACAGGGCTATTTTGCACTTTATATCATGCCTCCTGTTCTTGTGTTGAGTTTCTTCCATGTGTAGATTTGGAACCAGTCCTCCTAATATTTTCAGTGTAAATTATTATGTATCTCTCTTGCCTGTATTCCCAAGAGTACAGATTTTAACATTTTAACACTTTCGCGCTCCAGCAAGCAAGAAAAAAACTAGCCCCAGTGCACGCGGCGTTTCAGACGATCGAGCGGCAACACTATTTTAAGTGGTCCCAAAAATTTAGATGTTTTACTGAGTGGATTTAGGTTGTAAAAATCTTTTCTCCAGCCTTAAAATCTCCAGCACATTAGCAGCTTTGAGCTGTTAATGTGCAACATTATTCATTAAAACCCACCAGATACCAATTATCGTCACCAGCAAGTAAATGTTAGTTTAAAATGAAATTAAATGGATAAAATGTATGAAGATCCATTACCTTAATAGGTTGAGTGAAAAGTATTGAGGAACATATTGATGATATTAGAGCTGTAAGCCACTTGGTTGCTTTCTCATTTCCAAACTGGATGCCATACGCCCAGAGGAAAAAGACGGCAACGGTAATGCTCGTGGCACACAACACCCAAGCGATGATTACGCACCACCATGGCAGAGACACCTTTTTCTTCCTCTTCTGTAGCATAAACACATGAAACGCTGATGGAAGAATTTATACACGATACTTTTACATTTACATCAAGAAATTTAAAATACGGTATACAATTCCTTTAAGATTAATTTACTTTAACATTTAGATTAGGCTTTTCAATTAAGGAAAAGTTAGCAAACTTTCATGTGTGTGTAAATTTAAAAAGCTCCGATACAGCTGTGAATTTTACAGTGCAAATATATGCTAGACTTTCATTGGATTCACATATGTTTATGTACAATATTTTTTGCAAATCAAAATACAGTATTATAAAACAATTTTTCTTTTTACAATTTTTGTAGCCTCAGTGTCAGGATTTTTCTTGTTTTCTAGCATGGCTGGGGTGATAGGCAGGTCCTTGGCACTGGCACCAGAGAGAGACGTCTTGGGCACCCCAGATGCTGCCTCATCACCTGTCGTCACATTAAGAGCAGTGGCTATAGAGGCATTCTGTGTAAGGTTATGTGTCTATGTTGATATATGTCAGCAGTCTTAGATTCCCATTTATAAATTTATCTAACTATACCACATTTTCTAAATGCTTTAGATTTGTACTTTATACAAGTAAAGTAATTGTCAGGCATACTGAACAATGCTTTTACATTTTATTCACTTGCTACTATTATAGCTCAGTAATTCCATTTCCAGTAACCCACATCTCAGTAGTCCAAATGAATCCATATAACTTGTATTTTACAATTTAACTATAAACCCGAATGAGGATTCAGATTAAAAGGTTACATGAAATGATAAACTTAAATTTTAGTTAGTTAAAGTTTAGTTAGGGTGTGTAAAAAAAATCTGGGTTACCAGTAATTCAGTTATGAGCCTAAGTTTAACTACTAGTTTAAGAAGCATTAACCAACTTGTACACTTCCAGAGGTCGTATATCACTTACCATGTACACTTGCATTTTGTTTACCAAGGGCAACCTTCAAACGAGATGTTTTGGGATTTCTGGGTCTAGATTTCCTAAAGAAGAAGACAATACAGAAGGAGGGAGGAAAGACGATGAAGTTGCTCAAGAACCCCACACCCAGAGCCTCTGCAGAGATGGTAAATATCCCCAGGTTTAGGCCCCCAGTACCAGGCGTATCAGGTACCTGAGGAAAAATGAGAACAACGCAGAATTATGTTTTGATTACATCTAACAAAGTCAGTAGCTTCCCGCCCCTTTTGTAAGTGCATAAGGCATCAGAAATAATGATTCAGTGATTAACTTCTTACGGACAATACGAGAATACATAACATCTATTGTATATCAAACCTATAAACAATTACTGTACATACATTAAGTAATATATATATATGTATATACATACATTAAGTAATCTTACTAAGATTTAATTATGTACTTTTTCATACTAAGCAGAATACATACTCAAAACCTTTGTTATGAAAATGCATCTACCCAAAAATAAATGTATGTCACATACCATACGCTTCTTAAATTATGACGATACGATTAACCTCTCAAAACATTTGTCTCTCTTGCGCATCAAATAATACTGCAAGAGTAATCTGAATTTTGGTAACCCAAATAATTAGGTAATGTGAATGAATCTAATGAATTTGCATTCAGCATCCACAGGTAAACAGATTAACAGTGGGAGTAAGCAGGTAAATGCGGAAAATCGGAGGATAAATGTCAGGAGTAATTATAATAATTACTATTATAATAATATAATTGAATAAATGTAGGAGTAATCGGGTAAGTGGTGAGAGTAATTAGGTTGTCAAAAAAAATGCAAATTTATTCATCTTTGGAAATTTTTGGCAAGAATTTGGCTAACTCGATTTAATGGTCAACTCGAATGGGAGTGGAACTTATGATTCAGATTACCGAGCGCACGCAGTACAGAAAAATATATCGTGTAAAAACTTGTGTAAAGGACAATAAATTTCATACTTAAAATAATTGACTGCTAAACAAAACAAAAGCAAAATATAACCTAAAGCATCATTGAGCAGAATACTATACTCACTAAAGATCGGCTAACACTGCATCCTGGTCCCCTGACCAACTATAACTTATAGTGGTGATCCACTGCCTACTAAGAAAAACTGTTGACTGTATAATTCTAGAAATAACAGTGATGACTTTAGGCCTACTGATTTTATAGTTTTATAAGCTATGATGCATTTAAAACTAAATTTATCCTAACCTTTTGATAAAACATTGCATTGACCAGCATGGATAAATAGAGAAGAGCCATGCAAGATGAGAGCCTCTGGACCCTTGTAAACCGTGACCGAGGTGGCCGTAAGAAGACGCTAAACCACAAGTGGTCGTCGGCAAGGTTCTTCTGCACTGTTTTGCCAAAAACATGTGAATACTCCTTGAGTTGTTGCTCTCCTGCCACAGCCACAAGACGGTCAATCTATAACAATGGATCAGACTAAATGAATTGTAATGATATAACACTATACAGTAATCCATTACAGTAATTACTAGTCATTTAACAGATTAACAAACAAAATACAAATGCATTATATTATAAATTAATTTCACAATGCAACTGCCTGAATTATTTACATTTGTTTAGTCATAATTTATATTAAATATAAATACCATGAATAAAATAATAACCAAGGAAATTAGAAACACTACTTTCTTTATAAACTTTCAAATTGAGCTAAATGATAGCATACACAGTACAAACATAAATCTTCATTTGATCTCTTGTCAAGAACTGTTTCTGGATCTATTGTTTAAACTTTATAACCTTGTAAAACAAAAAATGTGCTACACTGTGCCTTAAAAGATACATTTCAAATTCCATTATTTTTTTATCTAACATGGCTTGTACCAAAGTGCTGCACACTACACTTTTCTAACTTACTTGGCCATCTCCCTCTTCTACAGCAAGCCATTCATTGGATATGAACTGAAACTCTTCTCCAGTTTGGATATCTCGCACCACCATGTAGGAGAAGAACCAGGAAGCATCCTTGCCTTTACCACTATTGTCATGCCAGATTCGCAGGTAATGCAGTGGGCCAAGTGATCTGCATGAACCAAGAAATCGATAAAATCAATACTTTTCATAGCCAGTGAACAGCATAGAACATTTACAGCCAGACACCCAACTACAAGAACAGAAAACACATCTTTAAATTTTGTTTAGTATCGAATGTAATGAAATACCACTCTAGGTATTAGCAGCTTTCCAGTGCATTAGGCTCTGAACCACAGAACCTCTCAAAATATGAGACCTCTGCAACTTGCATAGGCCTACTGAAAACAAGATCAAAATTTATTTTCTTCAAAGGCAATGGAAGCTTGGGAATCAAAACTTTCCCCATAAACCATGAAACTGTTCAGAGAATCACAGGTGAAACAAAATGAATCAGTATTCATAACAATAAAAAAAAAATAGAAACAAGTTATAGTACATACCAAGCAAATGATTTTTTGCCAATTCACCCAACTGCCACTCAAAGATTCAGGCTACACAGGATCTCTGTACCACTGTCATTACCCTCACTCACTTGTGTGTTGCCTTCATAGCATGTTACTTCTGCTAGGTCTGGTTTATCTACAGCCTCGACCAGGAGGCCTGGTCGAGGCCTCCAAGTGCGAAATGAAAGTGCGAAATCATCGCAAGGTAATCACAAGGTAGCCTGAAATGCTGTATGTTAGTGACTTTGTGAAAATGAACCACCAAATTTGTACACATTTGTACAAACCAACATTTGTACACTCACTGCACTGACATCCTTTCAAGCTGGTCCCTCGTTTACTTTTTAATTCTGCCCTCTCCTTCCGCGTTTCCCTACGGTAATTTGTGATTCGGTTCTGGTAGCTCTTGGGTAATGCAGTAGCAGATCGAGACTTTAGGCCAACTGAAGTCCCGATCCACCAAGTCTAATTGGCGGCCATGCGAGTTTAAGCTAGAGATGTTCACTCACTGCCAACCATTATTCGAGTTGTTTTCCTTATCTTATTTCTTTCTTTCAAGCAGTGATTTGTTTTGTTTCATCTGGATTTTCTAGTTAGTTGTCTTTTATTTTCTCATTCTCTGATTTCCGGTCTCTCCCATGCTTCATTGAAAGAATCAAATTCTGTCTTTGGTTCCCAGCAAGTCTGCACAGGTCTAAAAGGCTTGGTGCAATCTGAAGAACTGGTAATGCCAGCACCTATGCATCATAAGAGTTACTAAAGAAAGTATCCTGAACAAAAGCAAACATACCTTTCAGCAGCCATAATGAAATGGTCTGAAGCACCTCTTGTCAACAATGGCCGTTGTTCATCATTAAGAGTTCTTACATCGGTTTCATCCCAATCACCAACCAGCAGAAAATGTACCTGACAAATGAAAAAAAAAGTTATATCTGGTGCATTTACAATCAAAATGTATAAAAAATAAAGCTCTGAATACTGTATGTATATGTATGAAGAGCACCATTCTGAGCAATGCGACTTGGATATCCCTAGGGGGCAAGATCCACCGTTTACTCTGGATGAGGATCATGACAATCAAGGTGACATTCATTCTCAGCACTGGTGCTTCAGTGAGCTTTTCTGGAATCAGCTAGTACATGCTTGTTTTGTTTCACCTGTGACCGAGTGATTTCCTCAGTTTTTGGTTTACTTCCCATTACTAATGTGCCTTCAGGTAACGCCTCCTTTCTCATCAGGAACTTGAAAACCTCTTTGATTGACCGATTTTTATCTGCATAGTTTGGTCACCGAGTGTGGTTTGATTCTCCACTCACAATGGGTCTCTCTTTTTGCCGATCAACTAAACAGTCTCCATGGCACAGTGGTAAGATGCTCACCTGGCATTTCGCAAGCGCTTTGTCCTGGGTTCATATCCTGGCCGGGGAGGATTTACTGGGCACAAATCCTTAACTGTAGAGTTAAGGATTTGGGTTAACTCTGTTTAACCCAACAGAGATAAAGATAAACAGGGACAGCTGCTTATAAAGAAATGAAAGTAGTTCAGACAATAAAGGTGAGGCAATAACTAAGCCACAATTTATATTTTGTGCAACTTCAGTTTAACAAATGAGAGTTAATGTCAACCCCAATATATTTAGCAAGATGGTGAGCTCATACAAGATGACTTTTTGCCCATTAAACTAAACTGTAATTTTCAACCAATTTATTCTAAACTTGGTGTTCCTATACACAATTTCATAAGCTAATGCATCACCAATACAGTTTTCAGTTTCTAACCTTAGATTTGGTTCCAGAATTGGGAAGCTGGCCGGTGTGTACCATTATGTTGTAAAGGTAGTGGTCATTGGGTTTGTTGTCGGGCAAAGGTGTTGCTCCAACTTTCTCGACATCTTTTTTGTCCTGGAATATGAAGATTTGACAAAATAAGGCTTTGAGTGAGTATGGAAAGCACCTTTCTGAGCAGTCATTTGGAATGACTCCTCAAGGTAAGATTTGCTTTCTCTTTAGACTAAGAATGTGACCAGTCAGACAAGACTGGATTGAGTATTCTTCAGTGCCTTCCTAGCACCATTGTGAGCCAAATGTGTCAATTTGATAGGTTCATCATTGAAATGGCATGGAAAGTTGACTTGCCTGACAGTTATCACATTCGTAGGCCAGGAGGATCTTGCCTTATAGTGTGACTAATGGGGACAACTCACAGAAGTACAGAATTTTGCTTTTAGCACTGTCTACATATATTTATACATAGTATGCAACAACGATCACAAAACAGCTTCTCCGTGCAGCTCTTCCCTCCCCGGGAGGGGGAGAGGGAAGGGCTATACTATACTATACCATATATGCTATACTATACAACTATACTCAGAGACTATACAACTTTACCAGAACCCAGGAGTCTAAAGGGCCACCAGAGGCTCCAGTGCAATACACACTCAGATGGGCTTTCTACATTTTAATCTTATAATTAAGATTAATTACCTTTCCTGAATGATAAAAGGAACATTTCATCATGTTTAAAAACTAAGGGGCATTGACCAGAGCCCCATGAACTTCTCTGGTTATGAACCTGTTCACTGTTGGCATGTAAATTTAAGCTACAGTACAGCCATTTAAAGTAAAAACATCAATAACAAACAACCCACAAAGCAACTTACCATTATCCTAGCATATATCAGGATAATGAAATAGAGTCCCAAGGATATGATGAGTACAAGATAGATAGTAAGATTGTCTGCAAATCCAGCATTAGCAAAGACATAGGAGAAGTCTATAGTGTTCGGCATAATGAAGAATCCGGATCCAAACGACGACAGATGGTTACAAGCGCACACCGTCACCGTGGAATTTGCCCCAATTACCTGTGGCAAGATAAGAAAAACGGGTTATCTTATAAAAACACCATTGATGAATGTAATGAAAAGCCTCTTTCTGGTAGGGCCTCAATGGCTCTCTGAAGCTATCTCGCAGAATATGATAGCTACACAATTTGATGTCCTACACAATTTATTTGCAGGACATTTTGAAATTTTTCTATGGGAGTTCCTTGTGGCTTCCTGAAGCTATCATGATTCATTCACTCAGATTTCTGTGACACATGGTCTATACCCCCATTAACCTTTAACCTTGGTCCCTATTTGTAAAGTGTTGAAGTGCCAGAATTTTGTGTATGGTTAAAGCCCATGTTACCTTTATAGCTCACCAAGGAAGTATAGAATAGCATAGTGATCCTAAGTCCCAGTTTGTGTTGATTCAATAGTCAGTGCATCCCTAATGCTTATATTTGCTGAAAAAGTATCCCTCTTTATCTCAATAATCCTGTAACATAACAGTGCACCCCATACTTATTCAATGTAAAATAATGCTGTGTTGCTCAATAAAACCCAGTTGTGGAATTGTACCCCAAGGTGTATTTCTTGTCCCCTGTAAAATAAGATTTAGTGATGTCGGTTTAAAGTGTTTTGTTGGGTATATACAGTATGTATATATCCCTCCCATTATTTATAAGAAAGTAAGAATGGGTTTTGTTAGTTGTACTCTAGAGTATGGCTTCCAATCTCGTGCCCTTACATGAAATGCAAAAGCTATGAGAGAGGTTGTAGGCATTAAATATGCTAAAACTAGAAGATAGAAGAAAAAAGAGGCAATATGATCATCATGTACAAATTAGTAATGGGAATAAAAAAAATTTATAGGGAAGGATTCTAGACCTGGAACTTCAAGAACAAGAGGTCATAGATTTAAGCTAATTAAACACTACCGAAGAAAAATAAGAAAATTCACTTTAGCAAACAGAGCAGAAGATTGTTGGAACAAGTTAAGTGAGAAGGTGGTGTTGGCCAAAACTGTTAGTACTGTAGTTTCAAAGCGTTATATGACAGAGTGGTGGGAAGACGGGACACCACGAGCGTAGCTCTCTACCTGTAACTACACTTAGGTAATTACATACGCACAGTCCTCCAGCAAGCAACACATGGACAAAGGAGGCGCTGGATGATAAATAAGAGGATTTCATAATAATCATGAGAGAGAGACTATAGTAAGAGCAGATAAAGATAAATTATAATTGTTAGTACTTTGTAACTTCAACTTGAACTCAATAGACTGGGAAGCCAATGAAGCATACACGCAAATATTACATTCAGTAATTCAACCAGGGGCTTGGCAAGCTTGTCCATTATAACCTACCTTACATCCATCACTGCTCCATGTCAGAAGTTCTTTATTGAAGAAGAGGCAAGAGGATGTGAATGTGCTGAAGAAATAGGTAGAATTGAAACTGGTGTCATAGCTCAACAGGACAGTGTTGTTTGGTGGATCCTCAAAGCACGGGTGCTCTTGGGGCTGCAAGTACAGTATTGTACTTTGTAAATGCAAGTACATAACAGTAATAGCAAACAAATATCTGTATACCAGTTGTAGGTAATCAATGCCATCAGCAAAAACTAAAATTTCTAAAGTATCTAATGTGATTACTGTAACACCATTTCATAGGTTTATTGTTTTGTTATGCTAATACTGAAATTCACATTTCCTTCCATCATCAAATTAAAAGGTGAAAGAAACCATGAAAGAAAGAAACAGGCACCTTTACTACATGATTTTTCAATTGTTTTTCCAAATTAATATAACCAAATCAAACTCAGTCTTATAGTATGCACCAGCATTGACATAAATGAAAAGAAAATTTTGGTAAATAAAGCATTTGGCACTAAGGAAACTGACCAGTTTTCATATCATTTATACACTACATATTTTGATTATCATATTTGAGTGGAAACTTTATATTATGATCACTGGCTGGCAGTACGATCATGCACATATGCATGCTGTTTTTAGTTATAGTTATACAATATATATATATATATCACAAATGTTACCGATGCTTTGATGCTTAACGTCCAGTAGTATTTACCCGAATTTACCCGAGGGCCACTAATATTAGTGGCCTTGACGAGCACAGGAAGCTAGCGGTTTGTCAAAGGTCCCCCCCCCCCATTTGCCCGGATGATCTTTTCTATCTGTATTTTAAAACCCAGCAGAGTTTTGGCATTTACGGCTTCAGCGGGAAGGCAGTTCCACAGATTTACAACCCTATGGGTGAAAAAGCATCTCCTGTTTTCTGTCCTACATTGTGGCTTGTTGAGCTTTAACCCCTTGCTTCTTGTTCGTGTTACACCTGACCTTTTGATGAAAGTATCCGGATAAACATCGTCCAAATTGTTTAGTATTTTAAGGTTTCTATTAGATCCACCCTGTCATGCCTTGTCTGCATGACAGTATAGGCGGGTTTGTTCTCGACTCACAATTGGGAATTACGGATTAGAATCCCAAGCAGGACAGAAACAGTTGGGCGCGTTTCCTATCACCTACTGCATCTGTTCACCTAGCAGTAAACAAGTACCTGGGAGTTAGTCAACTTGTTGGGAACTGCACCCCTGGGAAAGTTCAGTAGTGCGACCTTGTGAGGAAGGGGGAGGAGGGGGGAGAGGAGGGGAGGAGAAAGGAGGGGTGGTACAGTACCTCAATACAAGTTAACATGTATATATACACTGGCTGCCTGTCCCCTGACAAAATCAATTATTTAAGTGATATAACATGTGAACAACATAAATTTGTTACTATGTAATACTATGCTGTGTTTGTTGTAAGTTTATGGACTGCAAGCTGCCTACTAAAACAACCATTAAGTGTATATTTACTCTAAAGAAAATGTGTTCGTAGCAAAACCTCTATAATAATTTAGTTTGGTAAGCTATTGTATCATATTACCGCACATATTCATAAAGATTACCTGTATATTATTGAATGAGAATAATGAAAATAGTTTTCACAAAATCACAAACTATAAATGCATAACCATGTCACATGGATTTTACACTAAAATTATAATTTTTCTACCCAATCTTACCTGTGGAATTGTCATATTATAGCGTCCAATACCAACAGAATACATCCCAGTCACATTACTGATGGTTTCAGAGTCTAGAAACAGCTCATAGAACCCACTATCTGAAGATTAGAGGAATGTCAATGATCAATTTATGTCATTTATCAATTTATGAAATGCAATATTTTATTTTAATTTACAAAAAATTTATTTATATAATATTTTACTTTGCATGAGATAAATTTACCTGTTAACCGAAAACCTCTCCTTCAATGGAAACCAATGACCAAGCAGGGTGAAAAGTCGCCTAGTTACTGAACGCGGGGGGTATGGCCCAAGCCCCGGACACCCCTGTAACGGGACACTGGGGCAGAGCCAAGATATACACCAGATATAGAGAAAAAGAGATTTATACAGAGAAGGAATTTTAGCTGAAAATCCCTCCTGAAAAACAGAAGGCAGTGGATTCTCAGTGGGAAGGAGGGGCTCAAGTACCTCTGTCACTGAAGTGGAAGGGGCAGTCCTCAGAGATGTCCCAAACAAACCTGAAGTACTGTATCTCCACCCACACACTATGAAACTCTCAAACATCTTTGAACTGGAAGCAAATGGAGAGGACCCACCCCTCACCCCGGCCTGCTGAACAACACCGGCAGGTGTTGTTTGTGTTACATCCAACTTTTTAAAGAAGTTTTCCGGATCAATATCCTCCAAATTGTTCAGTATTTTAAGAGGTTCAGCGAGATCAGTCCTGTCACATCTGGTTTGCAGTGTTATTCCTGTGACCCTCAATCATTCCTGTTTTTGTTCTGTAGGTAGTTTGCAGAGCTTTAATTAGTCATCCTTGCATTGGCAATTACTGACTGGAGAAGGGGTTGGGAATACTAATCTGTTCTTTGGTGACATAGCGAGTGGTATTCCTTGATGCCGAGACTGAGCTCTGCTCTTCACAGCTCCTCTACATGGGGCTACATGATGAACATTTGAAATGTTACTAGTCATGATGGGATTCCATGTATCTTAGGACCTGGTGTATGAGCAGTGTCCTGGGTGAATTTTGTCTCTGATTAAAGTGAGCAACTGAGGGAGGCTCTCCTTAGAATTACCAATTACAGTTCAAATCTACAACTTTAAGTCACCATTAACATACCAGTGAAATAATTATAGTATAACCACAACTGTCAGTAACTTGGAAACAACAGACTAAAAATACCCGTACCAGGATGATACGTCAGATCGCTGAAGGAGACTAGATTATCTGCATATTCCAGGGAACTGTTGAGAGTCGAGGAGGACCATGCAAGAACCCAGTCATCGCCATCAGAATCATTTTCTGGTCGAACCAACAGAGTCACAGCCACCCGAGGAGCTGGGACAATTATGTTGTGGATGCTCAGACCCATTTTGGAGGACACCCGTGGTTCTGTGGAAAAAATGGTTTCTTGCTATGAAATAAAACAGATTAAATACAAGCCATTGGAAAGTATTTACAAAGTTATATAAATAAAACAGATAATGTTGAGAATTTCTGACCCTACATCTTTAGCAGGAAAATTCAAATGTCAAAATTGTTTTTTCTGGGTAGCATTCATTAGTTTTCATCTGATTTTGACAATTTTCACACAATGCACGAATCAGCTGGCTTTACAATACTGTAAGAGCAAAATTATGTAAAACATATTCAAGTGAAGTACAATACCTATAAGTGTTGGTTCTGAAACAGTTTCTTGTGACCTTGGAATATACATAATGAAATCTTCAAGAGAGTTGTTTACTGGGATAGGTGTTGATGTAGCATCCACCAGCGACAATTGTACTGTAGCAGAGTCGTCACTAAGCTGGTCCCGACCTCCTCCATACCCATGAACCTGACCTTTCCATTTTGCCATCTATAGGAAAGTAAAGTATAGAAAAGGAAAAGTAATGGATTTGAGTAAATATGAAAAATCTCATTTTCTAAGCAAATTACTCTTATGCTCCCTCATAGCCACACTACTGGAGGTCACATTGGACAAGATCAAGAAAGTTGGTGCCCTGTTTGATCACTCTGGTGCTATAGACATGGAGGAGAGCCCAGGATAGCTACAGAAAATTCACAAAAGATCTTTCCAATCTCTCTATTATAGATCAACTGCTATGTCATTCAGTAAAGAATTAAGTGTTGAGATTACTGTGCTGTATACCACTTTGCGAGATGTTCTTCAGTTGCTTCCCAAGTCGTGTACCCATATGGTCCCCATGGCTACAAAACATTCCAGGCTCTATTTTGTAGTGTGTTTTGGTGTATACACTGTTTCTGGTGCATCTTTTAGTCTGGGCAGATCATATGGGTACATAACTTGGAAAGCATCCAAATTAGAAAACTTGAGTCAATAAAAATATTAATCTTTAACTATTTTTCGTTAATTATTTAGCAAAGTAACCATTATCTAGTTAGATAATTAAAACATTATCTGCTTTCATTCTGTATACTGCACACACATTATAATTACCCCACATCCAACTTTCAGTGGATGTGGTCATTCTGTACATGCACTAGCAAAAATATGATTCTGCACTTACTTGGACACCTATTGTAATGGATTTGTTAGTGAGACAAGTAGGTTCCTGCCTAGTGATGGCACAGTAGTTAGGGAACACATACACAGCTCCACCAACCTCTACAACTTTTCCTCCTAGCTCCGCAGCATCAAAGAATCCTACAAATTGGAAACAAATTATCAAACCTTTTACAAAAACTACACGCAAAGATTATAAGCACAATAAGTCATTATTCATGATGCGATAGGAGGAAATAGAGCACATACCAACAGCCATGTTGACTTGATCCCCTGCATCAATCTTGGCCGGCTCCTCCCCTACAACAGATGCCTGAAGCAGTGCTCCCTGGGATGACCCAACTATCTCCAACATTTTCTCCACCTGATACATGTAATAACATTTAAGAAGTCATTTTCTAGAACAAAATAGTTCCTCATAGTTGGGGACAGGAAGCCCGTTAGGTTTATCAAGGTCCCCCTAAACCAACAACTACTGATGACCTCTATCAGGATGCAACCCATAACAGCTGCCCAACTCCTGAGTATCTATTTACTGCTGGGTGAACTGTGGCATCAGGTAAAAGGAAATGTGCCCAACTATCTCTGCCCCACCAAGAGATCAAACCCGAGAGCCTCAATTGTAAGCCAAGGAAGTAGACTGCTACAAAACTCATGACATAATAAATATGGCAGATATAATATTGGAGAACCATTGACGAGTTGCTTGTTTCATGTCCTAATTGAGAGATGTTGGTCCTTGGGCAAATTCAGGTAAATATAATATTCTGAAGAATGCACATGCAGAGCACCAGGCAGACAAACAGGTACAATTTCTAAAATATAAAGTGATGAACGTACCAAAGTTAAGGAAACTCCTACAAATGCTTTCAGTAAGCAATTTTTGACGAGAGCCTCGGCTAAACCATTATATTGCATTTCCTTAACAGTGACAAGTAAAGCAAACGCAAGTTCTTTATAATACATCACTTTTCATCTGTGTGCTGTGCAAAAATTGTCTAACAAATAAGTATGCAAAACAACTTTGTCATACTGTACTTTCTTAATTAAGTACCGTTTGCTTAATTTCCTGACACTAGTTTATAGAACAAAATGTAATTGTAAAAATTGCTTTCGTTATTTGTGAAAAATTGTTTTGACACTGAAAAGAACTCTAAATTTCTATCAAATAACAATTAGAAAAAAAATTAAAACAAATAACTTCACAATGCTGAATGAGATAGTGGCTTTGCAAGAACTTAACATCACCACTGCTATACAATCCACTATAAAGTCTTGCAGGTATTTAAGAATAAATAAGTACAAGGATATAACATCAAAAGAACAATGGTCTAACCTTGTCATTAGCATCACGATCATCTTCCGAGGGTTCATACGGAGGATTGTCTTCCTCTTCCAAGCTTAGAGACTCGTTGACAGCCATTCTTTTCCTTCTTGCTCTAGTTATCCCTGACATTTCCCGGCCAACTTCATTGGTCGCTTCAGAAACATTTGACTTCATACTTTTATTAATACCCTAAAAGATATCAAATCTTAGATTTTACATTCTTTTCCATTTAATATACTGTACAGTGTATAAAACAAGAATATGTAGAACACAAAAGCAATTATTAAAGGAAGATTAAACCTAAATGGATTTGCAGATGAGGAGTCAGAATAACGTGGCTGAAATATGTTGACCAAACCACACACTAGAAAGTGAAGCGACAACGATATTTCGGTCCGTCATGGACCATTCTAAATGGATTTCATAAAGGAAAAAGCGTGTTTATCAAATTGACTTGAAATTTATACTAAATTTATTGGGTTACTTTGCTATTTGACCGTGATGTTCCGTAAGGCAAAATCCGATCTGATTCCATAGGACAGGATCATGACAGGGCCCTATTCTGCACTGCCACAAAAGGGATCTTATTAAAGGTGTCAGGATGCACTGGTGTTCGAAATCATTGGAGAAGGTCTCAATCCAGCCCTAAGTGACTACAGAAAGTTTAATCTTGAATACTTCAATAGCTTCCAAGCAATGCTTTGTATAACAGCACCCATCAAGTAACATTAGCTACCAGTTTTTCCCATGTGTCTGCTACCCCCAACTGCTGCCAGGTGGCAAACCCCAAAACACTGGGTTCTCTACCATTTGTCCCTTCATACTTATTGACCAGTCTCCACGAGGGAAGAGCAACATTCTGTTTAAACAAGATTTTAAAGGATGCAAAGAATATTTAACTGTGCAAGGGACTCCATCTATATTAAGAATATTTCTTGTGCGAGTATTGAAGTCGGGCGTTTTTCTCGACATTAACCCAGTGTATATACGTAACTAGAAATACATTTCAGATTTTATTTAGGGTTATACAGTTCATGTTCCTAGGAATTCCAGGCTTGTCTTTAAGCATTCTAAGCATAGATAATTCAAGGAAATAAATAAAAGAATAAGTAGATTATAAAATACTCCAACTAATAAATGTATTAGCTCTTCATTACCTTCATCAGGTTGGCTGTAGTAGCCAGAGCTCCAGCAACAAAGTCCTTCTGCTGGGAGAGCGGAGCTTCTTTGTCAGCCGACATTGACAGGGTCACTAGCATCTCTACCGCTGATGCCTGGTTCTCCTTTGGCAACGGATAGGCTACTGCTCGGAGGATATTATTTACCTAGTACCGAAAGAAGAGCAAAATTATTAATTAAAATTTGTATGATGCTCAAGTATTATAATTCAGGCTATTATACTTTATAGGCTACCTTTCTCCTACAAATAAACTAGTACCTTAAGTATTAGCATTGTGTACAAGTGCACCAATGTATTTGTAATCATATAAATACTGTAAATTAACAATGATACTGGATATACTGTACCTGGATAACTTCATCCATGGATGTTGCTGAAAACTTATCAGCAGCTCCTAGCATATTCTTATTTTTTTCAAGGGTTATGTCTCCATCTTCTTCAGAACCTTTAGTTTTTTCTGAAAACCAAGTGTTGAAGGTAATGAAACGTGTGTTTCTGAAGGCCCCCTCGTAGCTTTCTAAGCTTAGTTCTGGTACCAGCAACTCTTAACTAAGCAATTTCAATATCATGCCAGGTCTCCAAGACCTATCCATCGCCTACTGGAAGCCAAAATCAGAGTCTGGTTCACTATGAGAAAGTGACCTTGGGGATCAGAGATTGATGCAAATTTGGAAGAAAAATCAAAATAGAGAGCACAGGCACAACAAAATAAGGAAGTGCGAGGCAAATATTGTATACTGTATCTAAATATTTCTCCCATTACACACACTCTGTTTTACATTCATTCACATTTTACATTTACATCTTTTACATTCATCCTCTTGGTGTAAAATTACCCAAGCTTACAGTTACCCTCGTTATACTTACCACAGTTAAATGAATACCGTTAGATTTACCAAATATTGAATTTCAAGGTATTTATACTGTATAAGATTTACTTTATAAATGTTGAATTAATAAACTTATACAATTTATATTAATCAAAATTCATATCCCTTTAATGTGTTTAGATCATAATAATGATTCATTGCATCAGGGGACAGGAAGCCAGAGTGTATTCATACCTGTTAGGCTTATATCGAGGTCCCCCCCAAGGATGAATTACTAACACCGTCAAGGATGCAACCCAACAACAAGCTGACTATCTTCCGAGTACCTACTTACTGCTAGGTGAACAAGGACATTAGGTGAACGGAAATGTGCCCAACCATTTCTGTCCCGCCCGGGATTCAAACCCGGAATTCTCGGTTGTGCGTTAAGAATTAACCCGACTGTACTACTGGGACCGAGGATCATCGAGACGATGATCATTGCTTAAAGGTAAAGTAGAACATATTCTAATATCATTGCAGTACAGTATATAAAACTCAAGATATGTATCTATTACACATCTTTTTCACAAGAGTAAATTCTGTTAAGATGGAGGATTTTGTGTAGCAGAGGCATTTTGTGGGATGGAACTAGAAGTACAGCTCTCGACAGATGATATCAACCTAGCGAATGCAGCGAATACTGACTAAGCATTTCAGTAAAGTTCAAGAATGTGTTTGCATCAACCAAGAGACCTGGTAAAGGAGAAGGAACTTACTAAATGTAAAATGTTTCACACTATTTCTTATGGATAACAAAAATAAATATAGGACTACCCTTTCATTTTCTTACCATTATAATCTGTTTCATCTGGAAGAGTGATGCCTTTCAAAGATTTCTCTGCACGTAGTAACATGTCCACTTTGGTCTGGTCACGTGCACCTACAGCCTTTGTCAGAAGATTTCTAGCAACACCAAAAAAGTATATATATATTAGTCAGATGATTGTAAGTCATCTTACAATACTGGAATGGATAAAAAAAATGGTTAAAGCATAGAAAACAAAGGATCGTGCTATATGGAAATGAATCTGACTAGGGAAATGTGCTAAGTGGGGGGTGCCACAGGGGTCCATTTTAGGGCCAACCCTTTTTTGTCATATATATCAATGACAGATGAGAATATTACAAACATTATCATCAAATTTGCAGATGACACTAAGATCTATTGTAAAGTGGGGAATGAAGGTGATATTGAGACCTTACAAAGAGATGTACATGAACTCCACAAATGGTCAGATGACTCGCAAATACTTTTTAATGTCGATTTCCTAGGGGCATTATGTCTGCAACATTCCTAGTCAACATGTAAAAGGATTAATAAAACCAATTAAACAAATACTAATATGGTTACCTGGCCATGTACTCTTCAAAGGCTGTCTTGGAAGGAAGAAGTGGGTCAATGTTGGCAATAAGGAAATGTGTTTCGGCATCCATGTTGTCACTGATTGCTGCCCATAATGTCAAGTTAGCATATGGCAGCACCATTTGCCCACCATTATTAAGTCCAAATGTCAGTATCATCTTCTCGCCTTGGTCTGTCAGCGCTATTGAAAGAATTAAGTAAGTTTAATCTACAGCACACTTTTTTTATGTAAACAGGAGGAAACATAATACAAAAAAAACCAGCGTTGAATATAATGAAACACCATTATCTGCGAGAGCCCCTGAAGCTCCCTGGAGTTATTGGGCTAATATGTGAATCATTAGACCAGGGCATTAGTCTATAGAGTTCTGCCTACCAGGGACCACTAGCCAGAACATGGCCCTCTCGGAGAGGTGCAGGGAGCAATGGTTAACCCTCGTGGTTGGGGGTTAACCTTATCTGCCATCGACCAAGATTAGGCACCCAGAAAGGTAGGCATAACAGAACAGACCCCACATGGCAATAAAATTACAACTGAAAGCTGAACAGAGAGGTAGAACTCCCTCAATTTCCAAGGAAACAAGCAAACGTCACACTCCATTCCCCCCCCTTCCCCCGGTAGGCTGAACTCTATTGATTAATGCCCTAGTCTAATACATCGCATATTAGCCCGATAGCTTCAGGGTGCCAAAGGAGCTCCCCACAAAAACAATAGTAAACTGTAATATATATATATATATTCTAATGTACTGTATATATATATCATTTTGTATGAAAAATGTATATTATTCTATCATTTTCTTACCTTGAAGATGAATAGCATTTTATCTTGCATGAATGAAAGATGCAAAATAATGTTGACCAAACCACACACTAGAAAGTGAAGGGACGACGATGTTTCAGTCCATCCTGGACCATTCACAATCGACTTGAGAATGGTCCAGGATGGACCGAAACATCGTCATCCCTTCACTTTCTAGTGTGCTATTTGGTCAACATTTTTCAGCCACGTTATTGTGACTCCTTGCCTGCATAGATTACCAATATCACCTTGTCATTTTACTTCATGTTCAGTGCTGAAACAACCATATGAACCTTTTATTTCACAAGCAGTAAATTTTCCACAATCTTTTTTTGGAACATTTAGGTTTTCCAAATCTCAATACTGTAACCGATTAATTTTTAACTGTATTCATTTACCACGTGTACAGTACATGCCTCCACACACACAAACATTCACTAAAAAAATGCAAACCAACTTACCAAAGAAGGAATATTTGGGTATCTCAAAACCTTCTGGGTCCTGCCAGTCACTACAGTTACACAAGACTGTGTCAACGACGGCAGTGACGGACAAAGTAGGGACAACCTCCCTCTCACTCTCCTCCAGTACATCATCCTCATTTGTCAACTCCAGTATCTTTGCACGGCAAGTCCCTCCTATTGGCGCTTTGTTAATTTGAATACGCTGGAGAGCAAGACCTGAGTTGGACAGATTGCGCAGTAAAAGAAGAAAGCAATATGGTAATATTTGTTATTTTGATAAGAAAATATTGGTAAGATTTATATTGAACTTCATATATGAATATAAAATTAGATAATCACTGCATACTAAGGAAATTTAAACCTTAAATATTTAAGTGAGTGAAATTTTACACAAAATTGGTCCTACAAACAATTATTTTAAATTAATCTTCATTTTTAGCAACACATACTGTAATTCAGAAAATAATTGGACTCTACATCTTTTGAAGAAAATATATGGCAAAATTTCTGAGCAGAGTTCCCATGAATGCAATCCAATTTGTCCAATTTAGACAACCAAGACTTCACTATGCTCTCATGACCCATTTCAAAGGTTCATAAGGTTGTTTGCAAATGGCCATTTGTCTCGCACATTATTTGTCTCAACTGTGACGGATCTCCGAAACAGGTAACACTAATAAATATTTTGTATCCCCTGGGTAGTGTTACCTTCTAATTGCTTATGCCTAAAAAAAGAATAAAAAATAGCCATTATTGCCCACAAACATTTGTCTTTCTGGCTAAGACAGTAATATTTGGAAATTTACCTATTTTCTGGAACAATGCAGTTAGTGCTGAGTAAACTTGGATTAACTCCATAACAGGAACAAGTACCCATTCTCATCTACCTGGCTCACTTGATGCACCTCAAGAGAGGATTACAACAGCATTATGACCTTGATGGATGCCTTTGAATTATGATTAGTACAGTTGAGAGGTCATCACTTAGAAATGGTGACATTCTATATGCATCTCCAAGGCAGTTTGGCCAAGTTTCCCCCCTGCTATCTTTGCCTTTGGGACAGCAAGGAACGCCCATGAAAACAAAAATATGCAAATTCACATTTTCTTATTGGAAATAGATCAATTTCAAAAGTAAAGTTTGTGGGTAATAATAGCCCTTTTCTATAATTTTAAGGCATAAGCAACTGGGAAATAACACTTCCTACCCAGGAACAAAAAGTTTGTTGCAGAGTGTAATAGATCAGTGGCTGTATACAGCAAACAACAAGTCATATAATTTACTGTGTCGGGGGACAGGAAGCCAGAGTGTATTCATACATGTTAGGCTTTTATCGAGGTCTCCCCCCCCCCACCCTAAGGTCAAATTACTGACCCTGCCCAGGATGCAGCCCCACAACAAGCTGACTAACTCCTGAATACCTGCGTGTTGCTAGGTGAACAGCGGCATTAGGTGAAAGGAAATGTGCCCTACCATTTCTGTCCCGCCTGGGATTCAAACCCGGAATTCTTGATTGTTCATCAAGAACAAACCTGACTGTACTACCGGCATATGAAAGTAGTTTATCAAATATACATTTCTACAAACCTTCAGACGTTTCCTCTGCACGGTGAGCGGTGACTACTACATCAAATAGGTTGTACAATGAGCCATATTTCTCCCAAAATTCATCCAGAAGAGCCAATTTATAATGATGTTCTCCTGACAATAAATACAAACATTTCATAAACATTAACACTATAAATATTACTAAAGTGCACTGTCTCATCATTGGCAGAAGTGAATGTTCTTGTCCACGATCTCTGGCCCTGCCATTCTTCCACCAATAACCAATATCATTCAATAACTTCATTGGGCATCACTCAATCTACCAACTAAATTTGATAATTCGTATACAAAATGTCAAGTTTGCCCTCAAACACTTGCACACACAAGAAGCAGTCATAATAACCATTTTACTGTAAAGGACTGGATCTAATTATACCTTATTTATAATATATACAAAGGGATCAGTTTACAGTGGTTACTAAGTAGGAACAGTATTTGTATATATTTTATGAAGCCTCCAATTATATGCCGAGTTTCGAGCATAGCGGCATAGCTTAAAATAATAGATGAATAATAAGTTGACAATAAATGGTAACAACAATATATTCAGCCATATTAACAGGAACAATTATTTTTTCCAGTAAAGCAAAGTCTTACACAGTATTTAACAATTTCTGCAATAAAAATAAATGTTTTTTGCTTGCCAATTTTAGTCAGAATTGTCTTAAATTTTTGTTAATATTATGCACTTTTCATAAATTCCAAACTAAAAGGAATTCTTGATCAAATAAATTTTGATCACAGAAACCATTTCCAAAATATATTACTGTAAAAAAAAATAAAAAATCAAGCAGAATGTAATTAAATACCCTTTTCTTGAGGGCCCTCAGTGTCTCCAAAGCTAATCCATCCAAGCCTTAGGAAGATGCACCAAGTCTCTGAGAGCCACCCTAGCCAAGTGGCAGCCAAAACCTAGCTATAAGGCTCCTATTATGTGCCAATACATTGGGGATCATACATCAACCCAAAATTGAGAAAGAAATGCAACAAATCATAAAAGAAGCACAACAGAACAAGCAACTGGAAGTGATTTTAGAGGTGCCACTCTGAATCCCACCCAATTCCTGAACTCGTGGTGGTTAGGAACATGCCCATCTAGACAGTTCTAATATCCAAAGAAACAAGTCAAGAGCAACTCAAAACTACTTAGCAAAATTGAGACAATGTGGTTATCTAGGATGTGGGATGAGCCTTCTCAGAACAGACACATCCAGGATAAAGAGCGACTCCAGTACATTTTGCTTAGGGATAGGGAAGAAGCAGGATAGAGTCGTCATGAGCACGCCCTTGTTAAAAAATCGGCAATGACATTGCAGAGCAGAGGAGAATTGCAGAGCCGAGATGGTCTCCGAGACACACGAGGGAAAGAGGAACAATTCCACCGAAGACCTCAAGACCCCAGATATCCTTAGACCAAGGGTGTCAACAAGAAAAGCCTGAATCCCAGAATGCAAATTCACAGGATTATCACAAGAAAACAAGGAAATGGTGGAAGAGAGTTTGCTCCAAAGGATTTATCAAATTCCCAGATGGAGCAGTGTCATGGAGGCTTCCAGCAACCCTAGCCCAGATGACTACTACAGCTCTGCAGCCACTTCAGTACCCAAACCCAGAACCAGAGTTGGAGTGAAATATAAATTTAAGACACTGTGTCTGAGAAACAAAGAAGAAAGGAAACAATTAGAAAGCAAATTACACTTGGTGGAACTAATGTTCCAGGAATAGCAAATACCATTTAGCTTAAGTATTAAGCAGAGGTTGGGCATCTTCAGAAGTTCCATGCACCCCTATGCTGTGACCAGGTGAGTGAGAAGACAGATTAACTGGGACTTTGGGTGACCTGGGCTGCCATCTAGTGGTAGTCAGGCACATCACAGGAAGGATGTTTACACCATGGCAATGATCTCTGCCTCGTCACCTCTGGGTACCAAATTTTCTACAAGCCGAAAACATTTGTTACAATTATGTTTCTGATTATTTTTTTTCTTAATTCTTGAATGATCCATGATCCCAAAGCACCTCTTTCACTCAGAGCAAAGATTGTGGTCCTGGCACATCAGAGGGCAAGGGGTAGGTTTAAGAGACCTGGTGTATCTCCCATAGGCTTTGTTGGACCAGCATCTGGCTAAGGTTAGCTACTGACAGGCCCCTCTCATAAATATTATTGATTATTTCAAACTGTTCTCACGTACCTATAGCCACACCAGTAATATCGAGTAACTTTGTGCCCCCACCAGAAGACTCGACACCAAAGATCTTCCAGGAGTATTGCAGGGGAACTTCTCCACAGCCATCTTCACCAACAGGCTCTTCTCCTGGCTAAGATATTGTTCCAAGGTCAATGGCTTAGTCATGACAATAGTTAAAACGTGCAAATAAATTACTTTATGGGCAGCACATTTTTAACACGTATATATTTATTATCCCCCCCTTACTTTAAATTTTAAATTTACTCACCTTCAACTCACAACCACTTTTAATAATGAGCTTGGCTGGGTTGACAAGCTGAGCACCTGTAATTTGTCTGCAGAACCACGGAGGATCACAGCCCGATGCAAGCGTTGGCGGGTTGCCCTCTACAACTTCCACCTCCAGTGCTGCTGTATTCTCTCGTCCGTCACGGCTACGTGCCTGCGAATAAATGAAACTAACAGCCTGAGCATGTGGCTGGCCTCTTTATCTAACCCTAGGATTAATGATATAAAAAAAAGTAATAAAGCAATATGGTTTGACCAAATGAGGGTATATCCCCAGACATGCCTCATAATAGATATACAGCCGTGATAAATGAAGATTGAATTTATCACCTTTCCAATTCTAACCAAACTAATCACATCTGATAACAATTGTGCTAGCGTCAGACTTTTATGTATTCTTAATGTAAAAGAAAAATAATTTGTATTATCGTCATTATTGCTTCTTATCTATTATCATTACTACTACTCTACGAATTATTAATATTTTTGAGAGCGCTTCCACTTGGATGCTTCCTAATGCAAGATCTAAGCTGGTTGCATGACAGGAAGCAGAGCTAGCATGGATAGTGTCGACTCAGAGTGAGGGAATGTCACTAGCAGTGTATCTAAAGGTTTTGTGTTGGGTGTTATTAATTTTAATTTCTCTTAATAATGTAGCTATTGGAGTTAACAGTAATATCATCAAATTTGAAGATGACAAAAATAAGGCATAAAATAAATTCAAATGATTATGCTGCATCGGAAAAAGATCTAGATAAATTGCAGATTTCAACAGAAATATTACAAGTATGTACTGTATATACAAATTCACGCGTTTGAGGAAAGATAATGGTGCTGTATATCAACTTAAAGTATACATACTGTAGTGATAAATCCATTTGTGCAAGACTATGGGGTAATGGTTAGCGAATACCCAAGACTAAGACGACAATGTACTGTACATTCTTTAACACAGTACCAGGTCACTGGAGAACTACGGGTAGGCACTATTTACGAGGCAAAGTGAAGAACAACGATTCTTTGTCAGGAAGCCTATATGTATGTGTAATTACACATACAATGTACGTGTAATTAACAAGGTGTAGCTATAGGATGAGAGCTATGCTCATGGTGTCCCATTCTCCCAGCTCTCTATCATACGACACTTTGAAACTATTGACAGTTTTGGTCTCCACCTTCTCACTTGTTCCAACCGTCTACCACTGTAAGTGTAAGTGAACTTTCCGATGTTTTCAGCAGCTCTGTTTCTTTAGTTTGAACCCATGTTCTCTTGTTCCTGACACTGTAGTTATGATCCCTGCTACTATTTTGTACATAGTGATCACATCACCTCTGCAAATTTACTGCTAGGTAAACAGAGCCATTAAGTGAAAGAAAATATGCCCATTCACTTCTGTCCTACCAAGGAATCTAATCCAGAACACCTGACTGCGAGTCAAGAATGAAGCCAATTGGGTGTTTGAAGGAATACAGAGATGACGAGCAAAAAACATGTTGTAAATTAAATGAAGGAAAGTGTCACAGTCAGAAGAATTATTATCAATCATGTATTAGTTGCTTTGGGAGAAGAATGTTTAAATGAGTAAAGCCAAAGGCCTCATTTGACAATTCACTGAATGAGTGTAGTTAATAATAATGAGGCATTTATACAAGTCTATTGATTTTACTTTACTTTTTGATATGCCTTATTTATAACTGGAAAATAAGATTCATTAATACTGTACTAAATACACCAAAAAGTATACCATATTGTATATTGAACACAATGTATACATTTGCCACAGAATTTTATACACTTATTAATTACAATATTCATTATTAAAACAATTCTTATAATGGTGACCAATTTCACACAATGATACAAAGACTCACTATAATTTGAAGGCTGTACGTCTTATGAGGATTTCGAAAAATATCGACGTCAATATTGAACATGGGGTCGGTAGTAGTCATCCATGCTGGTCCCTGGCCCCAGCATCCACCCTGGTCCTTCTTTCCATCATACGAATCTCTGCTGGCCGGGGGATCCGAGATTACACTCCTCTCGGGTAACTCTTCATCCACCAAACGACATGACCACACATAACTAACCAGCTATACAAGAAAAATGTTTGATTCACAAGCACAAACCTTAGACAAAATAATATACAACATGAATATATAAATGCGAGTGCTCTTCTAATTGTGCTCATCTAGCTGTGTTTTTCAGCTATTAGTTCACATGTGTAATGGTTCCCTATACATTGTGCATTTTCTCTATAACCTTTACATTTATTTGTGGGAGCTGGCTCATTTGAGTGTTCATTTTCCATTGTGTCCCAAGTCTGTTGTAGTCCCACAAATCTGACAACCTGACCAAATAACCTTGAATATTATAAGAATATTAGAACATAAGACTAAAGGGACCTACAGAAAGTCTACAAGACAGCTCCTATTTATATCCACCCAAGCTCATTAATACTGTATACATGTTTAACCTTCACTTGAAACAATTCAGAGATCGCTTGTAAAAACAAATGTACATATGATTCGTTCAAGTACTGACAGATTTTGCCCATTTAAAAAATGCATTAAACTTTTACCATTGATTATATGCATTCAGAGGGAAGTCTGGCAAGTCATTTCTTTGTATAAAGTTGCAGCATCCAGAGAAACACTAATACAAGACAGGTACTAAACCTTTACAACAGATTACAGTTTACATAACAGAAATTTTCTTAACTATCCTTGTGACTCACTATAGCAGTTAAAGGAAATATTGTCTGAAATGAGTAACAGGACAAGAGTGAAGGTGAAGAGCAAGTGTTAAGTAGGGTATACGAGGCACTCTAGGGTAATACAAACCGGTATCTCAGGATAGTCTGGGTCATACGAGACCTGGCCAGGTACAAGGCTAAGTGTCTGCAGAGTACCTCGGCGAACCCTGGGAGCGCCTCCTTTCACCATTACAACCATCAGGATGCTTTTTCCTACTTCAATCACAGACTCCCTGGATAGAACTGTCCAAACAGCTACACCTTCTGGCTCTAACAGGACAAAATTTCCCAAGCTGTTACCAATATGCATTCATTATACACACTGTAATGACTAATGAATCATCATTACTCATTTATAAACAAATATATTACACTAATTGATAGATACAGTACATGCAATACCTTGTTTTGAATACAGCTTGCATTGCTTTAATGTTCATATGCATCTAAACATTTACCAAATTATCAAAAAGAAATTTCAGAAATAGTCATTTTTACTTTCCCTTAACACTTGGAGTGCACAATTCTCTCAAACCTGGGTCACTACAATGCACAATTCTTAAGTGTTAAGGACTATGGCTCGACTACACCTAGTGGTGCCTGATTACACATTTTTATCAAAGAAAGAAATCAAGATATCAAAGAAAGCATAACGACAAATATACAATAACTTACTTATCATAGAGATATTATAAGACACTATAGCACGATAGAGGCCATAGTGAAGGGTCCGCACTGGTAGATACAATACACTTTTGGTTGTGCCGACAGACAAGAGATCCACTTCCTTACTATCGTTCACATGTACTATCCTCCAGCCTGGAAGCAGATGATAAGTTTAAGTATAAGTTTAAGAAGCAAATATCAAAAGAGTAATTAGTGTTTATATATATAATTTCACCCTGTAACCATCCCGCAGCACTATAGTTAAAACAATGCAAATTATTTGCCATTAATTATAAAATCAATTAAGGTAATTATTAAACAAGACATGATGTACAAGTTGAATAAAGACATACGAGTATGATGTCAAACTTATTATGAACAATACTATTAATACGTACCAATATCCATCTCTATTTCCGGGACAGTGCAATTAATTTCAGCAAAGCTTCGGATCCACACCTTTTGTGCACGTGTCATGTTGAAGGGGGCTTCTAAAGTGCCATTCTTCTGGATCCAGACGTGTAATTTGTCACATGGAAGGCTCTCAAGAACAGTCAATTTGATCGTCTCTTGTAATTCCCCCATAATGGAAAACAGCTTAACTGTCGAGTTGTATATCCCTCGTGATAAGTATGTATGAGTTAGAGTCATTAATTCTGATAGTTGTACTTCCTCCCATTCTTCATGACCAGTCTTTTGACCTTCACATTTATCAGCTCGTTTCCATCCCACAAAGTGGCCATCTCCAAGGTCCACAGTCAGGCATGCACCGAGAAATAGTGGGGCTCGTATCCTAAAGGTAACCTCCATACCAGCTCGAATTTCTGTATCGGACACCTCTACCTCAAGACCATGTAGTTTGGCACGAACCCTCACCCAACCAGACACTATATTTGAGGTTCCTCCCATGCCCTCTGCAACTACAGTAACTTCATAGTCACTCTCCTGTGATGATCAATAACAATTATTAATAATAGGACAACAACAACCATTATACAATACACTATTATAATAGCTCATCAAGTGTTCTACCTTTCTAGCCTGGTTAAAATCAAATCTTACTGCACTTGAATTTATTACTTGTTAAACCTTTATACTTACTCTGTCAAACGTTAGGTTGAAGATGGGCGTTGTCTGTACCTGGTCTTGTTGGCCACTGACCGAGAGGATATAGCGATCTGCTTGTCCAATGATGCTTCCCAGACGGATGCTAACTGTGTCCTCCAGAAAGTAGAAGTGTTCAGGTCTTGTCAAGGTGTTATCCCCAGCCTCAAGAGTTATGACTAATTCACTGAGCTCCAGCTGGTGTATCACAGGCACCTGAAAATGATCACTCAAAATATTTTATATGTATCTTTTTAATTTTAAAGATTTTTTTACATGAAATTATAAAAGAAAATTACTTTATAATTTAAATCATAATGGGATTGGGCTTGACATCAGTCAAGCCTTGCCTGATCCTTAGTGGGCATCACAAGTGACCGGATGATTGATCAGACAGACATGTCATATTACATAGGGAAAGTGAAAAATACAATGTGCTCAGCAAGAGCATGACACAAAATAAATACCCATCAAGGAAAATCAACTATTGGCAAGATACACCATGCATAGTTAAGGCAATCCTCAAAGTGCTGTGCCAGGATGACCAACACTATTTGCAAACACTTAGATAAAAAATGGACCAGCAACAGTTGTGTAGCCTCAGTATGGCTTTTGAGACTTTATGGAAGTACTCCGACAGTTATTCTGGGATGGATTAAGCTTTCCTCCAGTGCCTCCATGACACCTTACATGGCCATGCCCAACCGTTTATTAATCCTGTCATTGACATAGCAGAATCTTACCTTGGGGAAGAAACAGTTGCCTAGATGTAAATACAGTACTGTACGAGTATTTTAAACCTTTCTTTAATAAATTTTGTTTCACAATCGACATCAACTAAAATGTTAAAAGAATTTAGCAAAATTTTATTGAAAATATAATATAAAACTGAAACGGCAATTAACAGCAATCACATTTCTTACCAAATGAGACAGGTTAACTTGAGACACTGGGTTCTTCATGTACCAACTGAGCACATAGTGATCAGGCTCCAAGTAGGTGTGCTTCAGGACCCGTGACACGGGGCCTCTAGCTCCTGCTGGCGTCTCACCCACAAGATTTACTTCCTCAACAGCTTCCCCATCCCCCCAACTGATCCAACCCGTCACATTAGTTGGGACCTCCTCCATAGATATCAGCATTAGGGTTACATTAGTTTCACCTGAAAAAATACTAAAATATAGTATAGCACAATGTTCAATATCATTTTAAGAAATACTTTTCTAAAATACAAAACTGATTCACATATTTAAAGTGTCTGCTATACTGAATTACATACTTTAATTTCATGTAAAAAAAAATGAGTAATAAAATATAATTTAAATTTATGTTATGTTCCAGTTGCTTCTCTAAATTACTCTTTAGTATATCTGTCGTGTTATTAATGCAACCACTGCAGTCCCCGTGGCACAGTGGTAATGCACTCGCCAAGCGCTTTGTGAACGCTTTGGCCTGGGTGTGTATCCTGGCCGGGGAGGATTTACTGGGCACCAGTCCTTAACTGTAGTCTCTGTTCACCCAGCAGTGAATGGGTACCTGGTTGTCAAATGATTTGGCAGGTCGTATTCCTGGGAAAAATTAGGATTAAAGGACTTGCCCAAAATGCTATGCCTTTTAGTGGCTTTACAAGGATGTAACAACTCTTTATAAATATAAATAAATAAATAAAGACATAAATAAACTACTGTACTGTACTGCTGCTAGAACTACCGACAGTCGCCTGTCATCAAGTATTACTGTACCTTTTTCATTGAATTCATCTGTCGGTTTTCTTCAACTTTAAAATTTTTTGTTAGCTTACTTCTCTTTTAGTATTAAGAGAGTATTTAATATTAATTTCCCCTTCATACTGTTATTATATGTTTCCAAATTATTTTAAGATTTGCTTGAAATGCTTTGCATAATAGTGGCTTCATCCATTTGTTCAACTCCTGTTCCCAAATTGGACATTACTCTTATGTCCTTTGTACACACATTCATTCGAACATATACTGTATTTTAATTTGTCCACTACCGTCCACAAGATGGGTATGGGGTGCATAATAAATGAACTAAACTAAAACTACTGTATACATATTATTATATATTTTTACCCGAGGACTACCATTTCTCTAGTAGCTTTGACAATAACAGAGCCAGTGGCTCCTATTGATCACGAGTAATGTCAAAAGCATTGCGATTTTGTACTGAATTTCAGCCACACCAGTGCATTTAGATTCCCTTAATTTATCAATGTTCTTCCTGGTTATTTTGCAATGTTATGGGAATATTCCTTAATTTTCTTCACCTGCTTCAAACATGTATACATACATTTATTTATTTACATTTTTAACTACAGCAATTCATGCAACATAATAACGTCAAGTACATACCAGGAGGTGCCACAACATACTCGGGTGCTTCTATTACAGCATTTTCCTCTGTCAGAGGTCTAGCCACTATAACGCGAGTGAACATGGTGTTCGAAGTCCCCACATCTCCTAATGTCCTCATTGTGACTTCATATTCACCAGCCTAAAAGAATGTTTACAGTGTACTTATACTGTGTATGTACAGTACCATATATTCAACAGGAAAGGGTCATAATGGCAACCAGAGCTTGTGTACTGGCAGTCAAGGGTCCAAACCAATATGCCAGGCATCTATGACCATATTAGTTGGCCCGATACATCTCCTTTAGGCTTTGCTCAACCAATTAGTAGCCTGGTAAGTTACCAAGGATCCAGAAATAGGATTACAGTATTTAAAACTTTCTATTTCTTCAGTGTACTAATCTGATGACTTCAAAGTTACAGGCAACATAATCAAAATGTGTAACCAGTGTATGATGCAATTTAAATGAATCTGTCTGCAATACCTAATTTTTCAAAAGTTATTTCCTGAAAACTATCCAAGCCTTCTCACTCTCTGTTATTCTCCCAGTTAAACACAAGGATGCCTGCCAAGACAGCTAATCTTGGACCCCTTATATTTTACCAATTAATGTTATATCTAATAATGGTTTCCTGCCATCAAATATTAAAGGTTAGTCACTGCCATTCCAAAGCCACAGAATGTCCAGCAATTTTCTCATAAAGTGAATTGCCATTTGGCTATTAAAAAACAAAGACAAATATTTCTTAGTTTTAAAAATAATTTGACAAAGAAGCTTACTTTTTGAAAGGTGTAAATAAATGTTGGAGTACTACTGGTAAGTACTTCATTATTTACAGTGAGTATGAACTCCTCCGCAAATCCGGTCTTGATGAGGGCCGTGATGTTTAATGGGACGTGGGTCTTAAATACTCCATCATAACTTCCTGACGATTCACTGCTATCTTCATACTCTACAAGTATCCCACCCAACGTCAAGTGGTCCAACACCAGGAGCTGTACGTACCTTGTACATTAGATTGCATAAACATAGCATATAATTTAAAGGAAATGACACTTAAAATATATAACCTAAGAATACTGTACTATCCTATACTATTAACATTGCCTACCCATTCTGATACCCTACAGTAACTACTCATCCTCATAACCTACTTTAACTTGAAAAATAACCAATGGTTACCTACAATTCTCCTGATGACTTGTTACCTTTTTACCACTGCAAAAGTTATTTATCATTGTAACCTGCTACTTTAAAAGAAAAGTGGAACCTCTGTCTATAAATATTAAATTTCAGTTACAAACTACAAGCAGTTAAATTCCAAGGTGAAAGACGAAAATGAAATGTTATCCAACTCACCGTAGTCGTTACATTTGCTTGCGACACCAAGTTCTGAAGAAAAAGGGAAACCAGGTAGTTTCCTGGTTGGCTATATGTGTGTAACAAATCTCTTGTCACCAAACCATGAGTTCCTGGAGAGGTTTCCTTAGTTAGGTCCACTGCAGTGTCTGGCTCACCATCATTCCAGTTGACAAAACCCGTTACATTAGTGGGAAGCTCCTCATTTGATATGACTTTTATTGTCACATTTGCTTCACCTGAAATGAGAGTTGTGTAGTTTTTTTTGTTTGTTCCAATAATTATGGTAAGTATATTAAAACACGTTTAAAAGAAACGGCTTCTTAAATCCAATACACAATAATGACAGTTTTGGCAAATGTTTTGCCGATAATGCAAGGTTGAAAAAACATTAATATTATGTGCTGATCCTAGAAGTATAAAGCAGACTGATGTGAAGAAAGGACAAGTAAAGAAATTTATATATTTTTAGCAGCTGGTATTTAATATTGCATTAATAACCTAAATAAATATAATTTTCTTCATAATAAAAGATTTGCTATCAAGTCCACTTTATCACGTATCAAATATAGTATATGTACAATATATTTATATAAATACAATTACATTTTTCTGTACTACAGACCTATGTTTATTGCTTGGAAAAATATACCAGTAGTTATTTAAACACTGACAAAAATTATACAATATTGTTATTAACCACGAAAACATTTGATATCAAATTGCATTAAAGATTTGGAAATAGCTACTGGGTAGTTGCATTTATCTTTACATTTTGCTCATAGAATGAAATGGTTTGGAAAGTTTGAATAGGTTGGGTATATACGAGTGACCATTAATGCTTGTAAACAGATCCTACGTGTTTATTATACAAAAGAAGGCACAAATGATTGTGAAAGTATAAAGTTTTGGGGAAGTTAATTTCTAAATTAACAAGGACAGTGGATGAAACCTTTAAATACATGGATAAATATTTAAAAAATCTGCAGTTGGATAATAAGGTTAAATGGTCAATAATAAGAGGCATAATATAAAAAATCCTGAACTTTATGCAGAAGAGTAACTTGCCTGGAGGCCACACAACAAGCTTCGGAACAAGCAGCAGCAAATTGTCTTCTTTCACTGGTCTCGCTACCTGCAGTGTTTTCGTCACTGCTAGAGATGTGCCAGCCTCGCCACAACTCTTCATGCTGATGATGTGTTCTCCAGCCTAGAACCATATTTTGTCCAGTCAAAAATTCAGAAAAAAAAAATAAAGATTTCCAGTTAACCTTGACAAAGTTTACTGAATTGTAAAGTAAAAAAATCTTAGGGACTTAATCATTTTTTTTTGTTCTTCAAATATACAAAAGTTCTTAAATTCTTGTACAGCCACTAGCATGCATGGCATTTTGGGCAAGTCCTTAATCATAATTGTCACATACACATTCCCAGGAAGCAGCCCATAGCAGCTGTCTAACATAGAAATAAGTAAGGACAAAGTCCACATATGAAAGCATTTGACAAAGCAAGAAACATGGCTGTAAAGGATCTGCCTGAAACGCTGTGTGTGTTAGTGGCCTTACAAGAATGTTAAAACATTAATGCTATATGTTCACACACATATATACATATAAAAGGTAGTAAGAAATTACTCACTGTTGTGAAAGTGTAGACGAAGGATGGAGACTTGCTTGTTATATTTTTTCCATTCACTATTAGAGTAAAGTTAGATGAAACTCCACCTTTCTCCACAGCAGTTAAAACAAGAGGTACATCTGTCTTGAAGATGTCTGTAGTCTTTGCTGGGGCATCAGATTCATTCTGGTACACCACAACAATCTTGTCAAGTGAGAGCTGTGCCAACACTAGTACCTGAAGTATTGTGCTTATGAGCAATTAATCCTCGTATTGCTTATATGCAGTGATGAGAATTGGACTATCAGAGAAAGCCCAGTGCACCCTCAACAGTAATTCTAAAATTATCTGAATAATGAACCCTCCCTCCTAGCCTACGATTGTGGGTATACTGAACACAGGCCCATGGGGCACTGCCCAACAGTACTTTGATATACTGTATATTGTAATGGATTCACATTGTTAGAGACAAAAGTCTGTTAGGCATATTGAGGTCTTCCTAAGCCAACTACTGTCTTTCTCCATGATGCAACTCACAACAGTTACCTACCTCTCGGGTGAGATGAAATGTTCATGTCTTACTGTAAGAACTGAACCTGCGATATTTCATTTGTGAGCCGGCTGTATTAACTACTGTATTATAGCAACCCTAATGTGGAATGTCATATCTGGAACTTTACAGTAGAGTGAGAATTTCTTGTATTCTGCATCCAAACATGGCCTGTATCCAATATATCAACAATCCTTAGGCTAGAAGGGGGTTCATTATTCAGACAATTTTCATTACGTTCTATAAAAGTACTGTGCATTACTTCATATGGACTGCTCTCCAAAAATTGCACACACATCAAATCATTTGTTTATCCTTAATATTGCTAATTTCTAAAAGCACAATGGGAGACATATATTGACAATGTTGAATAGATAAATATAGGTACTGTACTTGCTTTCCAACCTCCATATGCTGACAAAAAATTATATGCAAGCCATATATGTACTGTATATTAAAATTATACACATGTGTACTGCTTACCATCTTGGAAATGTTGACCTGTGACACAGAGTTTGAGAGGTGTACCATGACAAGATAGTGCCCTGGTTGCTGGTACTCTTGGGTGAGCAGACGTGTCGCTGATCCCGAGGAGCCTGGTGGCGTGTCATCAGTCATGTTCACCTCTGTCACAGTCTTACCATCGCCCCAGCTCACTGTACCACTCACATGAGTAGGCAGCTCCTCCCGTGATGTCACATTGATAACTGCAGTTGTCTTGGCTAAAGTAAAAAAAATATCAGAAAATCTTAAACGTATTACAGTACAGTATATTGTAATAATTTTCTTGATCACTGGTAAATCCCATGTTTTTAACACAGTTTGTAAAAATATTTTCATACACACAGTGGGATCCTACTCAAACAGATCCACAAATTGCATAACCTGCAGTAGTGCTAGGATTTCTGCTTCATTAGATGTATGGCTTTATTCCAACAAATAAAATTGTTGCCATTTCACTACAATTATAAATCTCCTAAAATTAATCAAAGGCCATCTTATCTAGCAGCTCCGACGGACAGAAAAGCAATTGTTTAAAGAAAGCCTCCTTCCCACTCATGAAATTTTTTTAAAGGTTTATTTCAAACTGTAGCATTGTCTTGGTACTTTATATCATATGATCCAAACAGAAGATATTTTAAAAGGTCGGCAATTTGGATGATTATTATACATTAATCATGCAAAATAAATAATTCTTTAAGAAGGCAATATTTAAACACAAACCTGGTGGCCAAACCACTTTGTCTGGTAGACGCAGCTGAACACTGTGTTCCTTTAATGGTTGTTCCACCTTTACTTTCACTACCACTGTATGGGATGCTCCTGCTTCTCCTGATGCGGTCATGCTCACGTTAAACATCCCAGCCTGGAGATAAAATATTGAAGTTAAACAACAGTGTAAAAATGCTTCATCACATGCCAACAAGTCTATTATGGAGTAGGCCTACTCATTGTTAATCAGTCTCCTCTGCATCATGCATGTCTTCCTCAATGTGCTAAAAAAAAAAAAAAAAAAAAATACATCGACAAATGCCACATGGATAAAGCCTAGACAAAATAGCCAATCATTTACAACAGGGATACTGGGGCTAGCCTATCAGGTAAATTACTGTATCTTCCTCAATAAAAAAGCCATTTACTCCATTTTTCTATCCTGTCTTTGCACTTCCACGATGTTATTTAAATAATAACTACATGACAATCATGACTAAACAATCCCTCCACAATACATGTGTTCAATTATCTTTGAGACTCATTCCCACTTCTATAATCTCTACATAAAATGTTATTTATTTATTTATATACAAGAAGGTACAACGGACAAATCCACAAGGGCCATAATACAATACAATACAATACAATTTTATTTAGGTAAGGTACATACATACAATAAATTTTTACAAGGATTGGTTGACTTGTAAACATGAAATAATGAGGGTTCGAACCTACATCCGAGAGGATCCCATGCAGATACACCTTAATCGACTAGGCCACGACATGGTTAAAAGAATTGCAACCAGGAGTGCCACTGACCTCAACACAAATCCTGCAGTCTCTCCGAGACACAAACTATTGTTTTACACAATTACCCCATGCACTCGGGCTATGTCAATAAGCTGTTCAACCTCTTCGCCTTTACTTCATTGCACACAGAATTCACAATAGCGAAATGCATCAAATGATCAAATCCACAAGGGGCCATGTCGTGGCCTGGTCGATTAAGGCGCGTCTGGGATCCTTTCAGACGTAGGTTCGATCCTTCATCACGGCCTTTGTGGATTTGTTCATTTAATGCATCACGCTAGTGTGATTTCTGTGTGTAAGGTACAATGGGTTTATAAGAGTACATAGCAATGATGATTTTACATTCTTGTAAAGCCACTGAGACGCATAGCATTTTGGGCAGGACCTTTATCTAACAGATAATTTTAAGAAGTTAATTTGTAGCAAAATTGAAAAAAGTTAACCAGGTACATTGTGAGAAAATTTGAAGAAAATTAGTAGGTCCATTTTAGTAACTAATGAGGATTATCAACAGGTACAGTATAGCATAATTTGAGGATTATTTCTAGGCACATTGTAGTAAAATTTGTGTTCAACATAACAGCCATAACATAAGATGATGGCAGCAATTGCAACGGTGATGTTATATGGCTTGGGCATTTATTTTGGGAGAATGGGAAGCACACTATACAGTGCGAATGTGAAGCACCAAGTTGGAAACTATTTTGCCCATTATGGTACGAGTTTAGAAGAGGTGTCGACTTTGGCCACCCATCCTGTGTCGGGGTGGAGGCAGGTGGATGCCTCCATAAAGGTCTCCTGGGAATACCCAAACACCTGCCAACCAAGATTACCATTTTAAAAGCACTACAACCACCTTCTGTAATTGATTATTCAATAACTCACTGAAATATATGTTTAACAGATGTCAAACCCTGTCCATAGAGGACAGAAGAAAATGTATATGTATGCTGCTTAGCATTGTAAATGTCTGACCACATCTGTGGGTAGAAAAAGTGTTTATTTGCTTTAAAACAAGATAGTTTGCAGACACAGACGACGCTAAACCTTCAGGCTTTGCATTTCCCCTTCAGGGAATCAGTGGAGCACATACGGCACCACTGAGGTCACGGACCTGTAACATTCTTGTACAGGACCTTAACTCGGGACCTTTTGTACCTTAAACTCTGGGACAATAACAGTTCGCAGAGTCCCAGTTTTGACAGTGAGGGGAAGATGGTCCCTTCCACGACGAGGTCACAACCTTGGAAGGTGGTGATCTCGTCGTCGTCTGCGTGAGACGAGGTCGTTCAGTGGTTAGTATACACCGACCACCTTGAGGCGGCCATTAGCTGGCACAAGACGACGGGGGTGACCACCTCATATTTTTTATTGCCTGTACAGTATTATTCTTTGTTTATTCTTTTGTAATAATTGCGGGCATGGGAGCGTTGTGAAAATATTTATGTATTTAAATATGAAATTGTTGATAGGAAACAGATGATCTGTTTGCCCGAAACGTTATGCGTACTAGTGGCTGTAGGTATTTTATGTACTGCCTCTATCTGTAAATCAAACAGAATGTATGTATTGTAACTCTGCAACTATGCATGTACTTTTCCTAAATAAATAATTAATATTAATATTATTATTATTTACAATACTAAATGACCCTGCAGTGAGGTTAACAAAATACATGTAATTGCCTAGCTAAGTGTAATTTGGGTATGGGGTGCATAATAAATGAACTAAGTGTAGTTACAGGATGAGAGTTACGCTGAGGGGGGTAGAAATAGCCTAAGCTACTCTATCCCTTTGAGATGTATTTATTGCTTATCTCAATAAACATACTTGAACTTGAGAGTTACGCTCGTGGCGTCCCGTCTTCCCAACACTCTTTGTTATACATAAGGCTTTGAAACTACTGACAGTTTTGACCACCACCTTCTTAACTTATTCCAACCATGCTTGCATGTGTGGGGTTAACTTACCCGCTGGAAGGTGTACATGATGTATGGGTTATCACTCGTTTTCTTCTCTCCATTCACAAGAAGCTTAAAGCGGGTTGCAATGCCACTTTCAACAACAGCTGTGAAGTTAAGCATTGCATTCGTCTTGAAGACAGTGGAGGGCCATGCTGGAATGTCATCCTTATTTAGGTAATGAACCAAGACCTTGCGTAGTGTGATGTGCTCAACTACTCTCACCTGAAGAGAAACATGTCATACACAACTGTTAGAAATGTAATTCACGATTTCCAAAAATAAAACTATACAAAGAGTCGAGGAACCTTCAGATCCATGTATTGCATGATCAACTAATGCGGACAGCCAAGTAATTTGATCACAACCTGATTAACTATGCAGAATAACTATCACAAATGTGAAGCAATAAACTTAGTACACCGCAAGTGTAAATTATTTAGGCTACAACGCATTAGAATTCAGTTCATGAAACCGTGATGAGACTAACAATGCTAATTATCCTAAACTATTCAGAACTGCTAATAAGCTGTTAATGTACAAGCCAACAAATTTCATAACACGCTCATCAATGCTGTAACTTGCCTATCTAAAGGAATATTCGGTTTCAGTTCTTCAGGCCATGTGAGTAGTTAGTTAAGTTCATTTATTATGCACCCCATACCCATCTTGTGGGCGGAAGTGGAAAGGGTTACAGAGGCACATAATGGGTTCAGGGACTGAACCCCATAATTCAAAACCTTATTTACTGCCACTACCACGATGGGTTATGGGGTGCTTACTCAAATTAATTACAAGCAAGTCCATCACTGCCCTGTTGACTTCAAGTGGTATTTGTCCCTATTTCAACCTTAATGACTCTTCGACATAGCCGGTACTGCAGTAGTGACTATACACCTACCGAGCTGGAGAGTTGCGTGTTCGAAATGGGGTTAGCAAGAGAAAGCAGAACCATGAAATTTCCATTTCTTGTATAGTTGTGACTGTAGGAACGGTCAACGTGGCCTTTGGACCCAGGCTGAGTGATGTCAGTTAAATTCACTACCGAATTGGGCTGACCATCTCCCCAGTCGATTGACCCCATCAGCAGGGTTGGCAGCTCCCCTTGGGAGATGATGCTAATGTTAGCAATAATAGTACCTGTAGACAAACGAAAGAAACAAATTACGCTGAAAAAAGGTCCTTATATGAAGCTTAGTTTTAATAAACTATAACAACTCTTATTTATAGTTTTAAAAATTCAACAGGTGATGTATATCACCTAAATGAACACGTGTACGACCAGAGTAATTATTGTCTTGTGTGATAAGATGTTAGCCAAATGCAGACGATGAGTCACAACAACGGGGTTGAAGATATGATGACAAACCACACACTATTTTACACAAAATGACAAGTAACAATTAATGAAAACAAAACCCCTTATCCACTTGGCTTACACACCAACAAAAGAGAAATATATACATGTGAAATTTACGTTAAATAATAATGGTGCAGGTAATACTTTATACAAAATGTTGTGTGCGTCTACCGTCACCCGGAGGGCGAGAGTAGATGTTACAGCTGTGAGCACTCGAATGGGAGTCTATTGAGCTGGATTGATTGATTGATGAAGATTAAGCCATTCAAAAGGTGGCACGGGCATGAATAGCTCGTAAGTGGTGGCCCTTTTGAGCCATTAGCAGTATCATGAGCTGATACTGGCGATCTGTGGAGGTGCGACTGCACCCTGCGTGACGGGAGATGTCTCCCGTGTTTAACTGGATGATTGATAAAGATTAAGCCACCCAAAAGGTGGCACGGGCATGAATATCCCGTAAGTGGTGGCCCTTTTGAGCCATTACCAGTATCAAGAGCTGATACTGGAGACCTGTGGAGGCGCGACTGCACCCTACGTGACGGGAGATGTCTCCCGGACCAAATGGTGACCAGATGGTGTTTAACTGGACGCTGGCAAGCCCTTTTATATGGGGCATGACGTCATAGTTGGCGCGAGTTCTGGGGTTTAGCAATCAGCCGGCAGGTAAACGATCGTTAGCTGGTGGCGTCTGGTCCCCCACGGAGACAGCAGGTGTCACTGGTACTGAAGGGTGGGGGTGGGGGGGAGGAGGTGTGTCATACGTTTTGGGCACGTAATGTTGCTGTCATTGATGTTGGAGCATGCAGATAAGTAGGTAGTAAAGGGACAGGCAGGATCTACTGCTAAGCAGGAAATTACCGTAACAGTACATTGTAGCAAAATTTAAGGATTATCAACAGGTACACTGTAGCATAATTTGAGGATTACTAATAGGTACATTGTAGTACAACTTGCGTTCAATACAATAACCAAGATATAAGTTAATACGAGTGAGTACAATGGTGAAGTTGCATAACTTAGGCGCATACATTGGGGGAGTGCTGGGTAGCACAAGTTACAGTGCGACTTTGAAGCACTAGGTTGGAAACTATGATGAAATTAGGTACTTTTTGGTTTTACTTTTGAATATTGCATAGGTTGGACAGCTTTTTAATTCAATAGGGAGTTCCATAGACCAGGTCCCATTATTTGCATAGAGTGTTCACAGAGATTTACTTTGACTCTGGCGATATCAAAAATTATTTATTTCTGGTGTGGTGCTGATGGGTTCTATTACATGTGTCAAGGAAAAGTTTCAGATCAGGATTTGCATTTAAGAACAAGGATTTGTAAATGTAAATGGCGCAAGAGAATGTGTAGTGAGCTTATGTTTAGCATGTTTAGGGATTTAAACAGCTGTGTGTTGTCTGAAAACAGAGTTTGTTATTGTTCTGAGATTTTTTCCCGTCTTTTGTTGTGTGGTTAGCTAAGGTGATCTTTGGTTTGTCCCCTAGCTGCACTATTCTAATATAAATATACAAAGTATCCACATCGAAATTGTTACGAAACTCTCAGGGATGTATCAAGTTATGGAAAAAAATTGCAATATAGTCTACACGGAAATAAATTCAGTTGAAGAGAGACATATTTCATTACCAGGGGGCGTGTGTGTAAGGGCGGGCGTGGTGAAGATGGCGTGGTGGTCAGCGAGGGGGAAGTACACCCACACAACGTGGGTGAGGGCTGCGTGCTGGCCCTCCCACGTCACACCCAGGGTCACCAGGTGTGGGCCCGTTGTGTTCATGGTGTACACTGTCATGCCGAACACCGGAGCCGCTGGCGACAAAGAGAAAGCCATTCGGCAATTACTTAAAAAAAAAAGCTTTGAATGTAATCAAACGCTAATTTCTGGCGCGTCCTAGTGTCTCCATGAGGCTATCTAGCCCAGCTATTAGGTCGCATAAGCCGTGGAGATCTGTTTGGCCTGCCGGGGACCAGAGCTAGAACCTGGCCCCTGCTAGAAGCGGCGGCAACCAGAAGTCACCAAACTAATACACTAACCCGTCCTCAATGTTCATTCCATCCAGCGGTCGACCCCAAAGACACATTCATCAATTTTAACATGCTCTTAATTCAAAATAGGAATTTTCTCACAAAAGGTCACAAAACGTCTTTATCAGACCTCAACGGAGATTATTACAGTAAGAATTACATCTATCCTTCACACCTTATAATGTCAGCTAGTTACATAGAATGTTCCATTTCAATAGCTATGTATTTACAGTTAATCATCATACATTAATGGTAGGTCTTTTTGCTAATACATAATTATTTGAGCTATGGAAATATTACAGGGTTATAGGGAAGCATTAGACAGGGTCGAGGGAAGACCGAACAAGCCACCAGGAATGAGCTGTCACCTGGGGCCAGATTCACGAAGCAGTTACGCAAGCACTTACGAACTGTACATCTTTTCTCAATCTTTGTCGACTTTGTTTACAATTATTAAACAATTAATGAGCTCCGAAGCACCAGGAGGTGTTTATAACAATAACAAAAGTTGATTGGCAAGTTTTCATTCCTCTAAACTGTTAAATAAATGTAACCAAAGCTGTCAAATATTGAGGAAAGATGTACACGTTCGCAAGTACTTGCGTAACTGCTTCGTGAATCTGGGAATCCGCAGGATCCGACAGGGGTTTCTTCCAGAAGCACCCAGTCATAAACAGCAACTATTGTTCTCCAGTAATAATACTTCATAGTATACTAGGATTTTACTCAAGTTTCAAGCACTGAATCTAGATAGCTTGAAAACATACTTTCCTACACTATCCCCCCTTCATATTGTTCCCAGTTTCATGGGGCCGGAGTCCTTATACTCACCCTTGAAGGCTAGCGCCTCTGTCTGATGATGGTCGACGGAGACGGTTAGGGAGAAGGGCGGGGTGGCGGTGTACAAGGAGTAGCTGATGACCACCTTCTCCCCTACAGCCACCTGCTCGGCGATTATCACACACACACACACACACACATGTAACAAACAGGATTAGATGTCATATTGATAGTCTTGCCGCCAGGGCGGCCAGTATGGATTCAAATTCAAATTTGATGGTTTAGCAGAAGGTGGTTGAGAGATAGTGGAGTATCAATGTGAATAATAACAAATATTAATTTTATTCACCGACAATTCACAAGTCGATCCCTTATAATTGCAATATATTTCTAGAATGGAAGGTACACGATAGATAGGCTATATCTAAGTTGTATGGAACACGACAGATAGGCTACATGCAATTTTGAGGCGAGGTAACCGATATTTCCAGGTTGGAAAGGTGACAGCACATCTTTTGGAAGATAAAATAGATATGTGAAGGAGAGAAGGACGTCGGCAGAGTAGACTTAAGGAAGTAAGCTTCTTGTGTTATACTCACGTATGGAGGGTGAACTTCCCATTGTAGGTCGTCAGGCAGGCTTCCAGAAGCCACTGTACCTGTAGTGAACAACAACACGACTTTTGTAGCAAGTACCTACGGGCTCACCATAGCCCGTGCTACTTGGAACTGTTTGTTCCAAGTAGCGAATCTTTAACAACAACAACAACGACTTTTGTTAGTCCAACTTTGTTATAAAAAAATAATAGGGGTGGTAGGAGAAGAAAAGATTAAAGTGTTCAGTGAGAAAATCCATAAGGTCTTCTCTGAACACTTTATTTTCTTCTTCGAGGCTGTGGGTCCCTACAATTGCACCAGAGTTGGTACCCCAGAGGTGTATGTATATATATATGAGAGAGAGAGAGAGAGAATATATTGCTTCTATAAAAAATATTGTTCTTATAAAGCTATAGCAAAATATACAGCAATTTCGAGAAATTTATCAATAATTATCGATTCATAATTTGGGTGTGAGATAGATTAAGAAAGTATTTAATAAACAAAATCCTTCTAAATTACATAAATACACAAGAAGGTAATTATCAGGGGAAAAGCGCCAAGCCATTACGATTATATAGCACTTGGAAGGGGTCAGAATAAGGATTTGGGATGGGACGGGGGGGGGGGGGGAAGGAATGGTACCCAACCTTTTGTGGACGGTCGGGGATTGAACGTCGACCTGCATGAAACGAAACCCCAAGGCTTCAGCCCCACCACCCTACCCTAACGCTGCTTACCTAGCAGGACAAGTGGCATCACAGCGGCCAACAGATGTGTGGTGACCGTCATGGTGCCTCTGGAGCAGGTGTGTCAGCGCGCTGAAGTCACATGTGTCGTGTCAGGCCGCCGCCACCACACTGACCTCCCTGGCCCACGTCACCCTCACTCACCCGTTTGGTGGAGGGTTATATATATCACTGCTACTGACTCTTGGTCAGTTCTAGCCCCGCTCCTGTGCCAGTTAAGTCCACTACGGGCTCACCATAGCCCGTGCTACTTGGAACATTGTCTTCCAAGTAGCTGAATGTTAAAACAACAATACTCTCGGTCCTCCCATCATCATGGTGCCTGTTATGTAGTCTCTGAGCCCCTTACAGCCTAGGATAACCAACTTCTTGAAACTCCATTCCTTTCTCATCAGTAGGGTCACTCCGCCTCCTCCCCATCCTTCCCTCTCTTTCCTTATCACAGTGTAGTTCTGGGGAAACACCGCATTGGTGATTATTCCCGAGAAGTAGCTACTTTCATGGCAATTTCCTTTATTGCAGCCATAGTTTCAGAGCTCTTTCTAATTATATCTGCAAATGACGGTTGTACTGTAGATGTTCCTTCTGCAGATACATTCCCGGCTTCCTGAGGGATGGTTCGTAACTGGTGCCGAGTAGGATTCTCCTTTAGGCTTTTTAAAAAAAAATTTGCCCTAAGGGGCGAGTTTATCGGGCAGCGCCACTCATCTTGTGAGTGGACATACCGCCATAGCAGCATGTACAACACTCTTTTAGGCTTTGTATCTCCTCCTTTGCTGCCTTCAGCTCATCCTGCAGGTTGGTTACAGTCTCCTTCAGTTGCCGCAGTTCTTCTCTGAATTGCCTCCACAAGCCTATGATCATCTCCTTAATTAGATCATCTTGTTTCTCACCTGTGTTTCGGTCGTTCCCTATTCCAATGCCAGGTATATTTCAATGAGTATTTACTATTTGTATCTGCAGAATCGAGCTATTAGCTCTTGGACCCCCGCCTTTCAAACCAATTTATTTGTCCTTTTTATGTAATTGTAATTATATCTACTATATATATTTCTCAAACATACACACACACACACACAGGAAGCAACCCGTTGCAGCTATCTAACTCCCAGGTATGTGTGTGTGTGTTTACCTAGTTGTGTTTGCGGGGGTTGAGCTTTGCTCTTACGGCCCGCCTCTCAACTGTTTACTAACTACTTTTTTCCCCCCCACACCACACACACACACCAGGAAGCAGCCCGTGACAGCTGTCTAACTCCCGGGTACCTATTTACTGCTAGGCAACAGGGGCATCAGGGTGAAAGAAACTCTGCCCATTGTTCCTCGCCGGCGCCGGGAATCGAACCCGGGCCACAGGATTACGAGTCCCGCGCGCTGTCTACTCAGCTACCAGCGCCCTGCGTGTGCGTGTGCGTGTGCGCGTGCGCGAGAGTCCAGGGGCCCACAAAACGAACTAGTACTGGCGTGAGAACACTTTACAACTATAAAGGTATATTAGGTTGTTAATCTTATAATTGGCTCCTTTATTACTATCATTGTGATTTAATTAAATACCTAGTGAAGCAATTTGTACCGCTGATTTCTCACTTTCCTGGTCTGTGTGTGTGTGTGTAACACGCCAGTATTCCCTTATTAGCCAAGTCGCCCACAATTTATAGACAGTATCTTTAATACCATCTTTTTTCCAACCAATTTTTTTATATGAAGCCAGAATATTTTCTCCAAATTTTCCGGTCAACGAAGGCAAAAATCTGAACCAAAGCATGCTAGTCTTGACGAAGCAGTGTTCCTGTACATGACCCAGCTCCTGGTCAGGGTTCGGGATGGACCAAAACGTTGTCAAATCCATTTTATGTGTGGGTTTGACTGCTTGTATCTGGCCACGCTGTGAAACCGGAGGAGAGGGAGATGAATCATATGTAGAGGAAGGAGGGGATAAGAAAGATGGTGAATAAAGCGTGTGGGCAGGATAGTGCGAGAGAGGGGACCATGAAGCCTAATGGCGGACAACTTCAGCTGTTGACCAGACCACACACTAAAAGGTGAAGGGACGACGACGACGTTTCGGTCCGTCCTGGACCATTCTCAGGTCGATTGTGACTTGAGAATGTGTGACAATCGACTTGAGAATGGTCCAGGACGGACCAAAACGCCGTCGAACCTTCACCATCTAGTGAGTGGTCTGGTCCACATACTTCAGCCACGTTATTGTGACTCGTCGCCTGCATAACTTCAGCTGTTGCTCACTCTTCTAAACAACAGCAAATGACGAAAACAAACTATGGCACAATACAGTGATATACCAATAAGCCATTAGCGACATAGGCCACAAAATCCACGTCAACTTCGGTCACAATCTCGGGCCAGACCCACGGACCCTCAACCTTACATAGCACTTCGATCTCAGTATCCAGAGAACTCGTTTCATTCCGCCAGCTTGAACATTAATGATGTGAAAATTGCCTCCTACTTCCTCGCCTGGGGAATGTAGAAGCCTCAGAAACCTATTTAATTTAAGAACTGCATGTTCATGGCAGTTACTGGATTTACAGTGTTTCTGGTATCCGGATTCCTGGGGATTTCCTGAGGTCACTGGGGACGGAGGTCATGTTACTGGCACGAGTCATATCAACATTTCCATACCATAAGAGTCTAGCACAGATTGAAAGAATATATATAGAGCAACGCAGAAGATGTACAGCAACCATAATCCAGCAGCTGCAACATCAGGATCTGCGGGTTGGTACAAGATTTCAACCAACTACGAAGTAATTATTTTGATGAAAGGGAACAATAGAAAAATAGTAGAAAAACATCGCATCAGGCTTGGATACCCTTGTGCACGGAACACAAGCTTGCAGGTTCCAGAAAAAGAGAGAGATGTGAGCATTGTGGAGATATGCCTGACGAACCACTGGAACATTATCTAACACAGTCCAGATTTACAAACCAATTAAGATTTCAAGAGCGCTCTAACAGGGCAGAAGAAGTTGATAAACACATTTTATATAACCTTTATGAAGCCAAGATACGGGTTAAATACTCGTCCACCGCCTGAGTAAGACAGAAATGAATAACTTACTGGGCCAGACAGAGGCGGAGGCTATTTAGGGAATATCCCTAAACAAAAATGGCGACGCCCCGTGGGAAGGTTGTGTTAATGACGTGACAGTCACGTGATGACGCTGGGACCGGTGACAAACATTAAGCGCCGTGTCAGGTGCTTCACTCCATGACACTTGGGAAGAGCGGGACACGACACCATCATCAGAGTATGGAAATGGGAGAGTGGTGGAGATGGTGGGGGTTGATAGCGCTCATGACATCTGTATAATGCAGTAGCTTTGGGCTCCTGATGGTGGGTGGAGGCAATGTTGCTATCTTATCCAGGTACACGTGTGTGTGTGTGTACTCACCTAGTTGTGCTTGCGGGGGTTGAGCTCTGGCTCTTTGGTCCCGCCTCTCAACTGTCAATCAATTGGTGTACAGGTTCCTGAGCCTACTGGGCTCTATCATATCTACACTTGAAACTGTGTATGGAGTCAGCCTCCACCACATCACTGCCTAATGCATTCTATTTGTTAACTACTCTGACACTGAAAAAAGTTCTTTCTAATGTCTCTGTGGCTCATGTGGGTACTAAGTTTCTACCTGTGTCCCCTTGTTCGTGTTCCCGACAGTCCAAGAAAATGCAGTTTGCCCACCCTTCTCTTTCTCGCCTATTTTTTGTTACTTGGTCACAGAATTCTGTTAAACCTGTGAGGCACGATTTACCATCTCTGAATATTTGGCCGTAGCGCACACAAGTGAAAAGCAAAGTAATTTGTAAGAGGGCGGGTTTGATGTTTTTTCCAAATGTTGTCCTTGCTACTTGCAGTAAAGACGCCCTTGGCTCTTCTGTAACACTAACACTACACAAGCAGACGATGAGTCACAATAACGTGGCTGAAGTATGTTGACCAGACCACACACTAGAAAGTGAAGGGACGACGACGTTTCGGTTCGTCCTGGACCATTCTCAAGTTGGTGAGAATGGTCCAGGACGGACCGAAATGTCGTCGTCTCTTCACCTTCTAGTGTGTGGTCTGGTCAACACTACACAAGAAGTTTCGTAATAGGATTTATGGTTCCTTGCGATCCGTGGCTCGCCTTTGTGTCCAAGAGATTAACGTCGTCACAAGCAGTGTGTCAGGATCTTCGTAGCGTGTAATCGCCGAGGATAAAAACAGTGCTGCAAAGCATGCAAGTTATGTTTTGTTCTCGAGATTGCTTGATACGAAGGTTGGGTGGCTCTGTTTACTGCCAGTGCGCGTGTCTGACGTGAGCTCTTGGTCTAGTTAGGAAATACATGACAATTAGCATACGGTACATACGCATCATGTCTATATCATGGGGTGTGGTGTACATCACTGCCACACTGTTAAGAGCTATTTGGTAGCATGTTTAAGATCTAACACACTCGGAAAACTTTTTAAGGCCAACATAATATCTTACTAACGACCAGCAAATATACCATAGTCCTGAACATTGTCCAGAACTAAATGTTGTTATAGATTCAGCTACTCGGAACAAGTTCCAAGTAGCACGGGCTATGGTGAGCCCGTAGTGGACTTATCTGGCACAGGAGCGGGGCAAGTAGCACGGGCTATGGTGAGCCCGTAGTGGACTTACCTGGCACAGGAGCGGGGCAAGTAGCACGGGCTATGGTGAGCCCGTACTGGACTTACCTGGCACAGGAGCGGTGCTGTGGGCAGAACTAAAGTAAGCTGCCAGTGAATGTACCAAAGAAGCGCGGTACACTTTTCTAGTACATTCCTTGTACTCCAAGTGAGGTGTATGTAATTAATACCAGGGTCTCCAGTTGGTGTAGGGGTCTGCGCTACTTGGTTTGGTATGCAAGGCCTGTTTTGCTTAATAGCCAGAGCGATTTTGATTTTTTTCAAATATTAAATTTCGATACAAGTTCTAACTCCGGTAGCCTAGTTTTACCCGCTAGGCGGCAGTAAGAAAAATCGCCAATTAAGGTTAAATCAGATATCTAAGTTAGTTTTGATTAAAAAAGTACCTATCTGTCCTATCATGTATATAAAGGATATACATTT